ACACAAGGTTCAGAGGAAAGAATGGTACACAGAAACTATTACCCTCATAGCTATATTTCGAACTCCTTTCACCTTTTGCCCCTTCTTGTCTCCTTGTCGTTCCCTCTTCCCATCGTCAAGAGTCCCTTTTCTCCCCGATTTCCCTTCAATCAAATCCTCATCTTTTTCTTTCACATTTCCCTTCCAGTCTTCAATCATTTTCCCACCAATTGCCCCCAACACAAGTCAACACATTTTCTGCTTCCCGGTTATGTGGAATGTGTGGAAATTGGGAAGGTTTCGCCCTTTTCTTTAGCTCAAATTTTTCATTTCAAGACTTATTTCTCGAAAACTTACTGTAAAAGCTATCAAAATGTTCTCAACTTCAAATGAAAAAATCTTCAATTTTCATTTTTTTGCCTTTTTTATTTGGATTGTAAAGATGAAATGTTGCCTTTCAAAAGCTCACTCCCCTAATTTTTCTCGTTGAAAATTTGCGAGTTTCACTTTCGACAATCTTTTGTACAAAATTGGTTGTCTTTTGTACCATAAAAATTTTTTGTTTTTTCATTTTACTACTCTTTCAAATTGAAAATTCAAAAATTCTCAAATTTTCGTTATTTTTTTTTTGATAAATCAATAGCTAGACGTATCCCCTTTGGCAAAAGCGTTGCCAGATTTGCTTTGCACAAATCCCGGGTTTCAATTTTGACGATCTTTCATGACAAACAGGTTCCTCAATGTTGTCAAAAGTTTCTAAAATGATCAAAATTTAAACGTAAATAGCATTAAAGCTTTTTTTTCTCTTTTTCTTTCGTCTTTTTTCGAATAGTAAGCTTTGTCTTTTATTTTGTCGTAAGCTAAAATTTGTACACGACAAAGTAAAAGAAAAAGCCGTAAACAGTAGAAAACCCATGGGAATGTTGATTTTCCAAAAAATTTTGGATTTTTAGATTAGCTGGATTACGGTATTCAGTCTAGATTAGGATATTCAGTCTAGTTTGTTGATTTTCAAAACCAGGGATCGTTGCATTTCTGAAAGTGCTAGGTCTACGATTTTTTTTACCTAGAATACGTAGCCTATCCAGCTTGTGATTGGTTAAAATTGAAGTGTTAAAATAAAATATCAATATATATATATGTTGTGTCCGATTTAGATTTCCGTCCGATTTAGATTGAACTTATCGCGGACGTCCGATTTAGATTACGGTCTAGATCGGACATCCGATTCAATCTAAACATACAAACATACATTAGACATACAAAGATATATATGTTGTGTCCGATTTAGATTCAATCGAAATCTTATATAGATTGGACAATAATACGTCTTATATAGATTGAACAATAATATAAACATGCTTAATATATGTTCTTAAGCGTTTTCTGTAGTTTTCTGCATTTTCAAAGGTCTTTTATTGATTATTTCATAGTTGGGTTTTCTTTTCAGAAAAAGATAGTAAAACAGAAAAAGACAGTAATAGACCTTTGAAAAATGCAGAAAACTACAGAAAATGCTTAAGAACATATATTAAGCATGTTTATATTATTGTTCAAACTATATAAGACGTCCGATTTAGATTGAATCGGATGTCCGATATAGACTGTAATCTAGATCGGACGTCCGCGATAAGTTCAATCTAAATCGGACGGAAATCTAAATCGGACACAACATATATATAGATATAGATAGATAGATAGATAGATACTCTATTCATGACCTGAGATAATGTGCGTTAGATTTAAGATTAATACACATGAATTCATACACATAACACGAAAAGGACCGATAAAAAGCAACACGATAAAATATAGAAAATATATGGGTAGCACAGATAACGTCAAGGATCCACTAGAGCCACTAGAGCTTCCATATCAAGATCATCTACAGATAATTTGAAGGTTTCGAAACAATTGGACTCTCTCAAAACTCTGGGGAGTCGATGCCAAATTCTGGCAAATTGGAAAAGAGTATTACAGTATTGGAAAAGAGTTATTTAACTAATTTAAGGTGACTGGAATTTCTAAAACGAAAGAACTCCTTGAACTAATACGTGGGATTAACTTTGAATAAATCTCGAAAAAGCGGGATAGATTGCCCGTTCTTTACAATTTTGAAGCATTCTATTAAATCCGTGACCAAGCGGCGGTGTCTAAGAGAATTAAGATCAAAAATTTTGAGTCTATCTGTGTAGTTAATCTTTGCAAATATGAAGTGTTAAAGAGAAAAAGCCTCTACTCTTTGTGCTTCTTTCAAGAGCCAGAGCTCGCTTCATTCTTCAAAAAAACCAGTGTTCAACACATTTTTTTGGGTCTAAGGCCATGTTCTGGCATTTCTCACGCGCAATTTTGCTCAGCTTATTGAAAAAGGAGGGATTCAGGGGTTGGCGGGCGAATTGGAGGATTGAAAAGAGTCCAAAGAGGCCAAGGGCGGTGAAGGGAAGAGGAAGGGAAGAGGAAGGGAAGAGGAGGGGAAGAGTAAGGGAAGAGCCCCGGAGAAAATCGAATCCCTTCTCCTCCCGTCCTCGTGTCTTTTCTCTCCATTTTCTCATTTTTCTCCCTCATCTTTTCTCAAATTTCACCCTTTTCCCCATCCGTTCATATTTTCAAGCGATAAAAATGACAAATTTTCGTGTTTGTTCGCGAAACTTTACCAATATCGCTAAATTCATTGGCTAAAAATGAAAACTGACAATCATTTTAAAGCTAAATTCGAATATTTTACAATCAATTACCATTTTCTTTAAAGATAAATATGCTTTGGATTGGAAAATTGATTGAAAATTTAGCTATTGGGTTGGTGGAAAAGTTCTTTCCGATTTTTTGGGAGAGTACCTTAAATTTGTCGAATTTTGACGTTTTATAGCTCATCCTAAAGCTGAATTCAAGACGGATCGATTGGTAAAAACCGTTTTGAGATATCTCTTTTCTAAAAGTTTTTACAGCAAAGGGCGGCGGAGCCAAAAAATGGCTGTTTTCACGTTTCGTTAGTTTTCCGTGCGGAAACCTAGGCTAAAAACATGTGTTTCGTGATCGGCGTCAAAAATAACCCCTAGACACGCATTTTCAGAATCTTAGCAAAAAATTTCTGAAAAATATTGTCACCGGTGGAAGTCGAACCAGCGACCCTCAGATCAATAGCCTTTCCGCCGCTTTTCGCGATTTTCCTTCGTTTTTCTCGTTTTTTTTTTGTTTTGTTGTACCCTAAAATTTCGTTCGGTCACGAAATCGGGTCCACAAACGTCAGTTTAAAATTTTGACGTTTTATAGCTCATCCTAAAGCTGAATTCAAGACGGATCGAATTCAAATTGGACAAATTTAAGGTACTCTCCCAAAAAATCGGAAAGGACTTTTCCACCAACCCAATACAAGCCGTCAATATTGAAAAAAAATCCTTTTAACTTTTTAATTGTAAGGAAAATATTTGTCATGGAATTAACGCCAGAAATTCCTTTTGAACTCAATCGAATTTGAAACATGGTTAAGCTTACAAAAAAAAGATGATCTAGATCGTTTGCTTTTCAAATTTAGCCACCTCAAAAACGCTCTTCAATTCAAATTTCTTTGATGATACAATCTTCCTTTGATGATAAAGTTATAACTCTTGGCAATGCCACAGCTATTCATTTCATAAGGGAATGACTGTGGTGAAGATAAAGATAAAAGACAACGATCTAAAGTTGAAAAACAAGCGTTTCATCTTGAACAAAATCCGAGTCGATTTATTAAACAGTAATTCGCTTCTTTCGCTTCTTTTTCTTTCTTTTTGCCCTATTTCTATTTGTTTTTTCCATGTTTATTTCTACCGTATTCTAACTTCTATTCTATTTTTCTACCGTATTCTAAAATTGAAAACTCATAACTCAACTTTTTAAAGTTTCCATAATTTCCTGTCGTTCTGGAAGGCACTAGAGCTCATCCAGTCCAAATTGAGGCAGTTCTGCAAAAAATTGATAAGCAACAAGCTTGGCTTTTTGGCGCAACAAGCTTGGCTAGCGAGCCGGGTTGGTGACTCTGATGACTAAAAAAAAAAAAAAAATTAATTTAAAAAAAAAAAAAAAAATTAAAAAAAAAAAAAAAAAAAAAAAAAATTAAAAAAAAAAAAAAAATTTTTTTAAAAAAAAAATTAAAAAAAAAAACTGATGATATCTAAAGCAATCAAAACTATCAGAAAAAATAATAACTTAATTTGATGAAATATACGATAGGAAACCTTCCTTCCAAATGAGAGCACAAATGCTAACATTTTGCTTCAAATACCGTATTCTCTCTAATAGTAGTGCACCCCAGCGAGCCGAGTTGGTGACTATTTTACGGCTTTCAAAGTTTTCACAGAAGCTCAACACTCAAATCCCCCACAAGATCTCATCGTCAGCTACATTTTCCGACCCCACATCGATAGGTTCTGATAAGCGGTTCTCGAGATTTCGAGCAATTTAGGTAAGGCTCAGGGTGCACCACTATTAGAGAAAATACGGTATTTTTTATTTAAATAAATTTGATTTTAAAAATTCGAGTCAATTGAAAGTGTACTTTTTCTAAACATAGTTATTCGTGTTTTGAATATCGAAATGAGTGCATAAAGTGAGCTAATTGCTTGCTAAAATGCGCTAAAAGTGCAAGTTGAAACGGATAATTTAAAAAGAATTAAAATCGCTTTTGATTTTTGTATTCAATGTTTTAAAAAAATTGCCATCAAATTACATTCCATTTTTACGTTTTTCACTTTTAATTTTTAACTTCGAAATTCTGAAATAAAAACTATTCAAAACCCCAAAAAATTCTTTTTGTCTATGGCGGTCCAGGTCAATTGCTTGTATTTGAATTCAATTTTCTTTGCTCAATTTGAAACTTGCACTTTTTTTTCAAGTATTTTTTTCTATAGGATTGTTTAAATCTTAAACTGTACACTTTTATTGCATTATTTATATCGTTTTTAATTAACATTTTGAAAATTGAAACAATTCCAGAAGAAATCTCAAAAGAAAAATCGCTTTAAAGCCCTCGTCGTCAAATTGTTATGCTGGCTTTGGCCACTCTATTGCTCGCATTCGGTCAATCGATATTAGCAGGTTTGAAATGGGGCAATTGTTTGCAAAAGCTCAAAACAAAGTATATTTATATATTTTAAGCTAAAACCATGAAAAACTTCGAGTTTGAAACCTTTCTTTTCTGATAGAAAAAGTTGTGTTTCAAACTTAGGCAGCTAGTTTCTTTCATTCAAAAATTAGTTAATATAATAGAAAAAAGATTCTTTTATATCTTTTAGTCATTAAAAGTCTTAAAATTTGAAATTTTAACATTTTAAGTTCAAAAAGTTTGCTTTTAAGTTCCAAAAAGTTCCAAAATTTTGTTTTAATGTAAATGCTTTTTTTCGTTTAGCTCAAAAGCTCAAAATCGAAGACTTTCTTATGATAACTCTTTAAAAATCGAATTATATTATAATAAATAAAGAGTTCATTTCATGCATTCAAAACTTTTTTATTTTAAGAAGCTAGGAGTTTTGGGGGAGTTTCGTTACTCGTTATTGACATCTTTTAGACATTTACACTTTTATTTATATTATATTTGAACATATGGGAAAGATATTAAGAAGATAGGAAAGAAACAGGAAAGAAGATAGGAAGATAGGAAGATAGGAAAGATAGGAAGATAGGAAAGAAAGAAATAGGAAAGAAAATATGAATAGAAAGTTCTTAACTTCAAACAAAAGAAGTGCTTGGGAGCTTTTGACTGTTTGAAAAACTTGCGTTTCAATTTAAGCGACTCTTTTCGTTTATAAAAAACAATAATAGCTTAAAGGTTTTTCAGTTTAAATTGTGCAAAATGTTAACATTTTTCATGAAAATTCTTTACAAAAACTCGTTCATTAAGCAAAAGTGATATTAAAAGAAGATTTAAAGAAGAATTTTTCAATTTTACAACAGCAAGAACTTTTTGAGTACTCTTCATAGCTTTTGGAAGAGTTGATCTTCAAATGGAAGCTTGATTTTTGTAGAATTTTATTGGTTATTATTTTAAAACATAAAGATTTCTAAATGATTAGGCAAAATTTCAAAACGAAAAGTGCTGCTTAACTTGAAAGAATGAAATTTGACATCTTTCAACTGTCAAGAAATTCTGTTTTTTTTTGTTTAGTTTTTTTGCTTATGTTGATTTACAAAGGAAATTTTTTGAGCTTTCAATTTAATCAGTACTTTTTATACTGCTTAACTTGAAATTTGAGAGCATTGTTGTTGAATGATTGTTGATTGCTTGATGCTTGATTGCTTGATGCTTGATTGCTTGAGGCTTGGCTGTTTAAACAGTCATATTTCAACTTTAACACCTATTTTCTCTTCAATAGACATGATTTGTTTCAAAAATCAACTTCAAATTAACCTCAATTCATTTAAAAAATCTTAAGTACCGAAGAAAAAAATCAAATCTTCCAAATCATCAAAAAGTTTAGCTTTTTTAAAGAATTTCCTCAATTTCCTGGATAAATATGATTTCAAATAACGATTGAGTTTACACTTTTATATTTATTTATGCGTTAATTTATTTATGCTTTAATCTATTTATATTATTATTTATATGAACCATTGAATATGTCCTGGTGACTCCATTTTGCAAATGGAGTCACCAGGACTAGCGGAAATCCCAACAAAGATCCCTCTCAACTCTCAACAATCCATTCAACTAGTAGGCAATTTTGCCATTGAAAATATTACGTAAAACTTGAGATTGCAAAATTCTTGATGTTACATTTGGAGAGTTTAAGTCATTTTTACTTTTCAGAAGACTCCGAGGTGCAAAAGTGTTACTCGTGCTCCTCGCCGCGACTCCATTTGCGATGGGTGAGTTGGAAAATATAGGGAAAGGTTTTGCAAAGGTTTGCAAACTTTAAGCTTTTAAAAAAAGCTTGTAACTGTAAAAAGCTTCAAGTTTCAAAGGGACTAAGTAGTGAGTCGGAATGGCAATTTAGCGGAGAAAGATTATTGCAAAACGTTTCTAATTCTCAATGTGTAGATGTGTAATTCTAATTCTCGATGTGTAGATGTGTAATGTGTAGTTGCGGGTCTCTGGCCAAGATGAATGTGTAGCTCAGGCTCAGGCTCAGGCTTAGGCTTAGCGAAAGTAGTCTGTATTGTCAAAGCTTTTAAAATTCAATTAAGTCAATTAACGTCAATTAGAATTAACGATCTCTAACTTGAAACTTTGACTTAAAGAGACTTGGAGATAGTTTCGATTTGCATAACTGGTTGTTCTAATGTCTTTTCATTCTAGTACAGACAGACAGATTACTTTAGATTTGAAGCGCATTCTAGTACAGACAGTATAGATTTGAAAGAAGCACTAACAGGCCAACAATTGAAATCCGATCATTGAAGGTCACTGGTCTCTGGCTAAGATCAATATGTAGTTGCGGATCTCTAGCTAAGATCATGTGTAGCTTCTGGTCTCTAGCTAAGATCTATGTGTAGCTATTGATAATTAAATTTAGTTTCTAATTTTTCTAATTAAAAAAATATATTGATACATTGAATTGCAGCCAAAATCTTCGGAAAATCGTCTTCTCTACCTCCGGGATTTCCCTCATTTCGCCAATGAGTCGTGTGAACAGGTTTGGTTTGGAAAAACAAATAATAACCATAAGAAGATATCATAAGAATTGCCAGATTATCGTTTTTAGATCAAAAAAATCTCAATTAATTTTAGATTCGAGGCTCTCTTCCCGTCGTCGATTGCCCGAATAGTGTTTGCATTAAAGCGGTGATTAAAGAACCGCCAGCGAAAAGGGAAGCATGCGGTGAGTGAGAGAAATCATTGAATAACTGAATAACTGAAAATCATTTAGTAGAATCGAAATCAATTACAATTTCAATTCAATTTCCAGTTGAGGGCGGAGCGATTGTGCGAGATTGCTGGAGTCGAGTGATGAGCCTTTTCCCGTACGCTTTGAAGCCGCCAAAAACGAAGAAAGATCATGTGAGTGCATAAAAATCGTATAATTTCAGTCTATTTAGTCTATTTAGTTAAATGTTAGGAAATTCGCAAAATTTAAATAGCTTAAAGAGAAATCGAGTCATTAGGGAGTCTTTTTGTTTGTTTTCAGGCATTCTTTTTAAATAGCCCTGAAGCCTGAAGCTTTCAAATAGTCCGCCTCTTTTTTCGGTCCGTTTGCTGTTGGCAATCTACGAATTTTGATCGTATCTTGATCTTTTTTGTTTGCAAAACGTTGAATTTGTTATCATTCGATAGAAAAACGCATTTCGAGTCGAATGAAATCAAATTCAACGTTTTTCAAACAAATCCGGCTAAGAAACGAGTAAAATACATGCCGTAAATACTGTAATAGTACTGTAAAACTGGCTAACAATAAAACTACAAGTTTAAACTAGTCTTTTACCGACCCAAGTTACGCCTAAGCCTAAGCCTAGCCTACGCTTTAAGTTAAAGTAATCTTTCGTTCCCCAACAACGAAAAACATTACTAGCTCTTTAACATAAAATGATACAATTTAAGAAATGAAAATCAAATTTAAAACTGCCAACCTTAAGTGATTCCTCGTATTCCTTGTTTTGTTCCTCTCGTAGCTGTCGTTGATGTAATACTGTAATAGCACCCCAACCCCATAATGACGGTGTGGAGTGTTGAGTAGTCTCTAGCTTTGAACGAGTTTTTCTCGACACTGGTTTATGCTACAATGCGCGCTTAGATATCAAAAAATAGCCCTGAATTTCAGCTATTTTTTGATACCAAAGACGCATTTTTGGAAAGTACGGGCGCTTTGAAAAAAATGAAATACTAAAAAACTTTTGCAACGACGCGACTGTACGAGGGTGGGGGGGGATACTATTACAGTATTTACGGTGGATTGTCGACCGGAATCCGATTGAAAAAGGAGCGGAGTTAACATGGCTGATTTGGATGATGAAAAAGATCTGGATGAAAAAGTGAATGGGTTATTTTGGGTAGATAAAGTGTTGAAAGCTGGAAGTGACTCGATTGCCTTCAGTCTGTCATTTCTTACTTCAGCAAAGTTGAAACATCGATCCTTAAACTCTAACAATGATCTTCAATGACTTATTTTTCAAATGTTTTACATATTGGCTGTTTTTCAAAGAGCTCCCTTGAGTTCTTGAGTCAATTTTGGTTGAACAAAAACGAAATCAACTCCTCCAGGTTCGTCTAATCGAGCCGGGAGAGAGCGGCGAAGATGTCGAGGCGACGATCGGTTTCATTTACACGTGTAAAGGGTATTTGTGCAATGGAAACACCAAAATTTCCACGATTCTCTCAAATGTTCTATTGCTATTGCTTGTATTCACAAAAGTGTTTCAAATGTGATTTCTCGATTCTTTTTGTGTATTCAAAATTCAAAAAGTTAACTATGTGTTCTATTTTCTTTTTTTTTGTTCTATTTTTGCTTGTAATGGACTAGTTATGAAACTAGTTCATTACAAGACTACAAAACTAGTCCATTACAAGAAACTAGTCCATTACTAGACTACGAAACTAGTCCATTACAAGAAACTAGTCCACTACAAGACTACGAAACTAGTCCATTACAAGAAACTAGGCCATTACAAGACTCGATGCGACCCACACAGTCCCGTCCCCAAAAACGTCGAAATTTTCCTGAATCTTTTCAATTTTGAACCGAGAATTCAATTTCACTTCTCGAAAACCATAGAAAACCATTTTCCATCAACTTTTCAATTAACATTCCGGATTTAAAGGAAAAATTTGGCAAGTCTAAAATCAATTCCCAATCAACTTACCAGCAAACTTTGAAACTTAAACTTTTTTCTGGTAAAAAAAGTTTTATTCATCGTTTTTCTAAACTAAATCTTCCCAAATCGATCAATTTCAAGCAATTTTTTAATCACTGAAGAAAATTGTATGGCTTTACAGGAGATTAGAGAAAAAAAATTGGCTTCATTGGGAAATTTTTTTTTTTGCCAAAAAATTTCCCCAAATTGAGTCCAGTTTCGTTTTTATTTCCAAATTGAAATTTGTTTTTATTTCAAAATTTTCTCTATTTTTTTCTTTTGATCTTGTTGAACTTTACGAAAGAAAATGTTAAAAATAATTCTTTATTTTTCTAATTTCTACGGGTCTCATGCATTTGCAGAATTGGGGAGTGGGACAAATGCGACCTTCTGGCCATGATCGATGGCTTAAACGATGCTTTTGTCAATTTTCTAAAAAGCTAATATTAACCAATTTCTACCCGGTTGCACCCGGACATTTGCGCACCTTTTTTTCCGCACTTAGCCCATTTGCGCACCTTTTCGCGTTTTAAAAAAGCTCTAAAAGCTAATATTAACCAATTTCTATTCCAAAAGTTGTTTTTCTAGGTAATTTTAGGGCGTAGAATCGAAATTTTGGCATATCAGAGCTTGTGGAAGCGAACGGACGGAGTTATACAAAGAGAAAAATCAACAATTTTCTGTAATTTGACCTAGCCTAGTCTTTCAGTCTTTCAGACTTCAGACTAGTCAGACCTAGTCTTTCAAATTGGTTCCACACGCTCTGTTATGTCAAAATTTGAATTCGACACCCTCAAATTACCTAGAAAAACAACTTTTGGAATAGAAATTGGTTAGTATTAGCTTTTAGAGCTTTTTTAAAACGCGAAAAAAGGTGCGCTAATGGTCAAGGTGCGGAAAAAAAGGTGCGCAAATGTCCGGGTGCGCAAAAAAAAGGTCGCATTTGTCCCACTCCCGCAGCATTGCAAAAAAACAAAGTATTTCTCCCAAAAATGATCTGAACCTTTTTTTGATGATTTTTTTTGTTTTTTTCGCTTTCTTATTTGATAAATGTTTTCGTTGAGTTTATTAAAATTCTTTATTATTCTTTGCTTTCAAATTTGCTTCCAACAATAGATTCAAATTGTTGGAAACAGATTTCAGTCAATATTTAAGTTTTTAGTCTTTTTGTCGATTTGAATACAAATGAAACAGTAAAAAAAAATGGTGTTTAACTAGTTTAAATTGTTTAAATTGTTTAAATCAATAAACGATTAACCTTAATCGTTACTCAACCCCGTTGAACGTGAAACTTTCCTTTTAATAATGAAATTTTTTAATTCTTTCAAGCGTTCACTTTAAATTTAAACAAAACTCACTTTTCCGCGCTTGCAAACTTCAGTATCGTTGATTTTTTGATTTAGATTTGATTTAGGAATCAAAAACACTATAAAAAAACACTAACACTTAGTGCACTTTAGTGTAAGAACATAGAGGAAATCTGTCTCAAAGTTAGACTACCTACCCGAAAAAGTCGATCCACTTAGATGGTCTATAATTCGAAGTATGGAAGCTGAATCAACTCATGGTTGGTTTTCCTAGAATCTCCATTAAATTTGACTATAGAAAAGTAGAATTTGTTTTGTAGACTTTTTTGAGAATATCTTGACGATGGACGAGAAGTGGATTCACTTCGATAACACTTCTCGAAAAAGACAAAGGCTCAGCGAAGGTCAAATGCCAATTTCAACTCCAAAGCCGGATTATCATGGGCACAAAGTTATGTTGTCTTGCTGGTGGAGTATCAACCGGCTTGTTTATTTCGAATTGCTAAAACCCGGAAAAACAGTTGAATCAACTGTTTTTCCGGGTTTTAACAATTCGAATTCGCCTTTATTTATTCAACAGCTCAAGAAGGTTGACCAAATTTTGCGTCAAAAGGATTTAAATCCGTCGACTGTCAATTTTCTCCTTGACAACGGGCCAGCACACACAGCGAAAGCTTCTTGTATGGATTTAGAGGAGTTAGCATGGAATGTCTTACCGCATGCTCCATACAATCCAGACTTGTCACCATCTGATTTTCAGCTCTTCAGATCAATGCAACATTCCCTTGTGAATTGCTAGTTTAAGAATGCACAAGAGGTCGAAATTTGGGTGACCAACTACTTTCAATCACATAATCAAGGGTTCTTCGCTTCGGGGATCCGCAATCGGAAGCAACGTTGGAGGGATGTTAACGATGGTGCTTATTGTTTGGAATAAATTGTTACCTAAAGGAATTTTGATTAAATTTAATGTTTGTAAAAAGAACGAAATCGTTTTCACTAACCTGATCCTTAAAGGCTGAAAACTCAGGGTATTCGGTCTACTAAGCTGAATATCCATAGTTCTTGGTTTTATTAGAGGCTGCGCTTCTATTAGAATGAATACGGTATGAACATTTAACTCTAATGAAAGATCAAAAATTGCGAATATCAAAGGAAATTAATTTCTCGAAACTCCAGTAAAGATACTGAGGTAAATGATTGTCGCTTAATATGAACAAATTTGAAACTTGATTTTCTAATCCGTCAAATATTTGTGTAAAGTCTCTGTGAATGCGATTCCTTATTTTATTTCATTATAAAACCGAGTTAAACTGAATTTTATGTGATAAACTATTTAATATTGTAAAATGGAATATTAGCGTATTGATGAATTGATGAATTAATGATACTTGGATCAATAATGGCATTGACGAGCCAATTTACCCTCAATTCGACCAAACTTGAAACATTCTTTTTTCTATTGAAAGCTGGCCAACTTTTTAGCTTTTCTAACTGTAGACTTAGATTCATTTAAACTAATTACAGCACGACAATGATAAATTTTGAAAGTTGGACCCGATAATTAATGACTGTAAAACGGAGGAACTCAATTGACATTTGATGGTGTCAAACTTGAAACTTTCTCTCTCGATCACTGTGGCCCGAACATTTCTCTTTTAAAGGCATTTCTATATTATCTAAATTTAAATCTTCATAATAGTCTCTATAATTCTTGCCAATCTTTTTTATTGTTATAGCACAGGCTGTTATAGCACAATTTTAAGCACCGGCTATGGCATCATTCCTGCGGATCTTAATTTCCCCATTCAACGGGACTTCAGCTCTTAATTTTCCATTCCATTCGTTGACCTTCGATATTTTCTCATAAAATGAGCAAAATCAACTCCATTCGCATGAGAAAAGTAACGAAAGAATAGAAAAAAGGAAAAGGAAAGTTTGATTGGCACAAATTGTATTTTTTCTCTCTTTTTTCCCCAAAATATTCAGTGGTTGTTTTTTCCGCTCCGTTACCTGGCCAACAACTCGAGAAGAGAAATTAACTTTTTTTTGACAAAATGGACATTTTCTCCAAATTCTCGTTTTTTGTCTATGTATTAAAAATTGGAACCTTGTGAAGCCAATAATTTCCCTTTCTTGACTATAGTAGCTGATCGTAAACTGTTTCTTTTCGAAACTTTACATTTTTACACGACAAATCAGTCATTAACTTTTAAAATTTTGGAAAACTATAGCCACAGAAGTTACTTTAGATGTTAAACTGTAAAATAAGCACAAGCCAGTTGGGATTAACCCCAAATTCTTTTTTTGAACACCCAAAACTTTGAAACATTGTTTTTTTAAAGCCGTAATTTCCAATTAAAGGGCCCAACCTTCCATCTATTCTTCAAACTCACTCCAGAATTCTTTTTTTTGTCCTCTAGCTACAGTAAATTCCAAAATTTCAAATTTATTATCTAAAAAGCACCAACTTTCGAATACCGTAACCCAAGCGCGAGCTTTCATCCGATCAGCCCAATTTTTTGTCCCATCGATTTAGCCGATTCCTCATCGAAAGTGAACAAAATTGAATGGAAATCAGCGGTGATATTACGATAGTTTTCTAAAATAGGTGTCTTTTAGGAAATACCCTTAATATCGATCTTGCAATTGCCTAACCAGAACTAGAAGTGACCCAGATTAATCTCAAAAATTCCTTAAAGACGTCGAAAAGTTAGAAACTCGTCTTTTAAACTTGCGAAAACTAACTTTTACTCAAAAAAATACTGATAGTAAGACTGGTTGTAAATCATTGACCACATTTTCATCTCTCATATTTTTATCCCTTAACTAAAACTCTTGCATTTAAGACTTTTTTTCCGGGAATCCCCAGGAGAACGATTTCTGTCCTAATTAGCACCGGAAAACTTCACCGGAAAAGTTGAACTTTTTTGAATCGAATATGTTTTGAAAGAAAAATCATGCCGAACTTTTTATTTTTCACTTTTTAAGTTGGCTTTGAAAGCTTTATGTGATTGCTTTATGAAATCTCGAGTTTCAATGTTCGCTTGGTGAAAGTTGCGCTCAAAAATATAATTATTTGAAAAACCTGAAAAACATGAGCAGATTTTTAACCGGAAAAGCATAAATGTTTAGTCTATAAGCATAATATTTACCAATCTTTAGTCAGTTTTCGTTAAAATTTGCTTATTTCATCGACTATTCTTATGCTTGTTTGCTCAACTCACTAGCATCTTTACATTTACCAAGATGGCCTTGACACTGACTTTGCTTTTTATCAAAAACCAATTTTAGAGGATCGTATCTCATTGTAAAATACTTATTTCTCACTAGGAAAAGGCATAAACTCACTGTGATATTTTAAAACAAAACCCACACCATCTTGTAGAAAATTTCACTGGGAATCCGATCCAGTTTTTAGTTTTTCCCCTCGAAACCTGTAACGCAAAATATTTGGCAAAAACGCTTTTGGCATGTCTATTTGAAGCTTCCACACACTCGCCTAAAAGATCCCTTGGTGGTCTGAACAATAAGAAGAAGCTGAATAAGAAGCTTCTATCAATAGCAGCTATACACCTTTTGCTAAATCTAGATCTAAATCAGCTAAATCTTTTGCTTTTTGTTTATTTAGGTATTTCCATAAAGAAACCTTTAACATAACTAACACTGATGAGATCTAAAGCAATCAAAACTATCAGGAAAATAATAACTTAATTTGATAAAATATACGATAGAAAACCTTCCTTCCAAACGAGAGCACAAAAGCTAACATTTTGCTTCAAATACCGTATTCTCTCTAATAGTGGTGCACCCCGCCGAGCCGAGCTGATGACTATTTTACGGCTTTCAAAGTTCTCACAGAAGCTCAACACTCAAATCCCCCACAAGATCTCATCGTCAGCTACATTTTCCGACCCCACAACGATAGGTTCTGATAAGCGGTTCTCGAGATTTCGAGCTATTTAGGCAACGCTCAGGGTGCACTACTATTAGAGAAAATACGATAACAAAGAATTCAAATCTTTTTCGAAATCAAATCATTTCCCGACTTTTATACCTTAAAAATTGAAATATTCACTGATAGCCGCCTTTTTATTGAACTCAAACTTCTCTGGATGCTGTCGACTTTGGAAAATTACTTTTAAAAGTTACATTCATAGAAATTCATTCTTTTTTTTGTGAAGAACATATTCTGATCAAGTTCTTGTAAACGTTTTAGGGCTTTAGGTTTTAAAATCAAATTTTTAGTTGGCCAGCTTTCCAAAAGTTTTTTAGCGCTCAAAATACCTTTCCTGAGTTTACCAGCTTTTCCCCAACATTTCCATTTCTATTTGTTTTCACAAAAGCACGCTAATTGAGTTTTCAATGGTTTTCATTTCAAAAATTACTTTGTTTTTCGAATCCTTGAAAAATCGTTGTAAATAAGTGTAGATTTTGTTATTTTGGGACTTCAATAAAGAATAAAAATAAATGCAATTAAATTTTCAGATAGAAAAAGATATTCAGCTGTTCCTATAGAAATGAAAGAAAAGTTGATATTTTCGATGAATGATGATAAAATGATCGATGAACCGTCGGCGAGTGGACTACAACCAATTCCTGGAGGGAAAAATCGAGGAGAAAGGTTTGTAGGGGGAAGATTTGAAATTAAGTATGGATAAAAAATTTTTTAAAGCAAGCTCAAGTGCTTGTCTAATGGTACAAATAGATTTTTGGTGAAAATGGATTGAGTCGAAGGGCTATTGGTTGTGGAATGAGGGGAGATCTGACTCTCATTTCCAATGGGAAACGGGTGGTGAGTTTTATCTTATGCCACCAGGGGCCCAGTTTCACGACCACTTACGACACTGTCGACAAGATAAGTGTCCTAACTCCTTACTGTGGTAAGGAGTCACGACGCTGTCATAACTCCTTACGACACGATTTCACCTCCACTTACGACACTGTCGTAAAATCATGGTGAAACCGGGCCCAGGATACCGTAACCCCATTCGCTATATGCAAATCACCTTTATGAGTGCTTATCAAGGTCGTTAATTTTGACCATTTTCAAAATTGACGCGCTGGCGAAATGCCGTGATCCATTGGCTTTAGCTTACCGTAACCCTTTGGAAATTACTGTAAAATTGTAGCTGACAGAGGCATACAGACAGCTAAGATATTACGGTATAGTAGGCCTGGGAATTTTCCGTGTGAACGCCAATAGGCGTGCAACGGAAAAATAGCATATCTCGGTCAATTTCACTCCGATCTTTTTGATTTTGATATCAATTGACGAAGAATTGAATTTTCTATCGATTGCAATCAAAGACAAAAAGATTGGAGTGAAATTGGCCAAGCTATGGCATTTCTCCGTTCGACACCTATTGACGTTTGCACGGAAAATTCCCAGGTCGATAGTATAGGGCAACGGTAAGACGTTCGGGTTTTTTCATTTTTACTGCTGTTCGGATCTTCCGCTATCCATAAGCCCCAATTCTCCAAACTCATTGACTAATCGTGCAGCTGATTTTTGCAACAAATTGTCCTCTGATGTTATTTCATTTCTCCATTTTGGAAAGTTCATAAAGTCAAGAACCAATCGCTAATTTGAAACATTATATTCTTCGAATCAACAAATTTAATTGCAATTTTCATCCTTAATTTGACGTTTCAGTGTGACGAACAAATTGGGATCCCAGGAGAGCGGGAAATTCAGTCAAACATTCACTTTCGGACAAGGGAAAAGAAAAGATGCGGCGCACGACTCGGGATTTGCGATCAACTCTGTAGATGGTGGGGGTTTTGGCAGAAAAAAATGGGTACTCTACTGTAATGATTGATATTCTGAAGATCGAAGAATAAGATTTCCCCAACAAAACCGATTTTAGACTGCATTCGAGGGTATTTTCCGAGAGCTCGTAGCGGTGGAAGCATCAAAACGAGAGTGGAACGAGTCTCGAAGAGGTTTGCACAAAAAAAAGTTAAAATTCGGTGCGTATCACTGCAAAAAAAATTAACTCTAATTTAAATAGAATAATCTTCAGGTACCATTCAGACAGCGCGGTGACAAAATGCGAGAAATTGCCATCGGTTGGCTGCCAACTTTCTGCAAACAATAATCAAGTAGGTTCTAGAGCTCGAATGCTTGTTGCTAGACTTAGTTTATGAATCCGTTGGACAAAGACTACTTGTTGTTCTGTTCACGATTTAAAAGAACTTTTCAATCGTAGAGCTTCAACGAATCGAAAACCGCGATTCAGCAACGCACTTCGCTCGCCTGCTTTCGCCCTTGGAGCAAAACGAGCATCGAATTGCAAAAGTACAAAGACTCGCTGCAAAATTGTAAATATTGACACTTCTTTGCCATAATAAATTTTTTCACAGTTTAGTAAGATGCATTTGGTCCTGGAACGAAAAAAAGCTCACCGCCAGTTTGTGCCTTACGCTAGCCAGAGTTGCCTAAATTATCCATCTTTATTTCGGACTGAAACTTTGAAACTTTATTATTAAATCAGCGATCAACGTGAAATTTATAAAATAAGCAAGAGAATGTAAACACAGGTGCATTTAAATTTTAAAAAAGCAGATTGTTGCATGACATAGAATATATTAGAATATACTTTAATAACGATGAGCGAAGCAAGTGTCGAGCAGTTTGCTGTCTTCATCGTCGAGGTTTGCGAATTTCTTGATGGTGGTCATTGTATTCTTGACGAGATCCTCCAGAATTGGATTTTGCCGAAAGAAGAACAAAATTTCTCATCTATAGAAGGAAACTCACTGAATTGCTTTCATAATTTCTTGAAGGCGTCGCATCTTCGCCAGCTCCAAGCTAATCGTATCGATCCGTTTTGGTCGAGACGTTTCCGTGCTTGTTGGAGAAATACTTGAGTCGGACCTCTGAAAAGATAAAATTGTGCTTTCAAAAAACATTTTCCCACCTCATAAAAAACTTTATTGGGATTGACCCCAGGTTTCAATCCGGCATTTTTCATCTGTTCTAGAGCGGAAAGCTCAGGAGTCATTGTAACCTGAACATACAAATAAAATTAAAACCAAAAGAGGAAACCGGATCGCGCGGCTTCTTGAATCCCAACAAGTCGACATGTGGCTGAGTGTTGGCAGGGGCCGTAGCTCCAGTTGCAATATCAGAAGAAAGCTAAAAAGAAGAAGTCGAGAGCTAATCATAGATAGACCTTTTGACGAAGCCGCGCAGCAATGTCAGAACGAACGAATGAAGTGTCCGGATCCTCAAATACTTTGATACAGGGTTACAAACAAGGGCAGCTTACCGCATGAAATCCACCTCCAACGGCAGAACGGTTGCTCGCAAGTGGCTGACTAGCCACTTGTGTTGGTTGATGTCCAGCCTGCGATTGAGGCCGGAAAAGACTGCAAGGCAGCTCTCTGACGAGCGAGCTGGCCTTTTCCTAAAGCAAATGGGTATGCTAGGAAAGTAAAACTAAAATTACTGCATTTTGATCCACAATTTGCTTCAACAGCTTCGCATTGTTGAAAGTTACCTTCATGTCACGAGCCAGCCCAAATTGTTCTCCCCTCATGGGTGTTGCTCGCCCGACCTATAAATTCAAAAAAGTTAGTGCGGAATAGTTAAACCTTACATTTTCTGGCCAATCGACGCACTTCACCTCCGTAGATTTGCTAGCCACGGACAGATTCGACATCGACGTGCTCACATTTCCTCCACCATTCACTGTAAGAGTTGATGAAAGCAAAGCGGGGTTGGGCTAAAATGAAAAGTATATAAAAAACCATGCATTCGTTACCATTTGCTCAGATGGAGCTGAGAAACGATTGGGTATCGACGTGCTCACATTTCCTCCACCATTCACTGTAGGAGTTGATGAAAGCAAAACGGTGTTGGGCTAAAATGAAAAGTATATAAAAACCATGCATTCGTTACCATTTGCTCAGATGGAGCTGGGAAACGATTGGGCATCGAACTCGTCGTGGACTTGCGGAAGCCACTGCTACGACCGAAGTTATTGCTCATTGCGACTGGACCTGAAAATAATAGCATTAACTTTTGAATGAAATGAAGAGACTGGAGCGAGAAAAAAAAACGTAGTTCGTAAGAACGTAAAAACCAGCGCGTCTCCGTGTCCGAAACATGAAAAATCGTATATATCGATATTCTCCACTCCTTTTTTACCCTAAAAACAAAAAAGATTTATGAAAATAGTTAAAAACAGCGAAGAAACATAAAAACGGAAATAGCGACATCTTTTCGCCTTGGCACTAGACTTGCTTATCGATATTATCGATACAAACGGCAAGCTCATGTTTGACCGTTCAGATCTCGGTTTCTAGAACAGCTCTCAGTCTGAGAATTGTTTCATTGGAAGTCAAGGATGTCAGCTTTTGATTGCTATTTTATACATAGCAAATTCTCACAGGTGAGTGCCTTAAAAGGCTTATCAACACTTATCGATAAACGATACTTTGGATATCGATAAGGTTTATGAGGTGCTTACTCATTAAAAGTCGCTATGTATAAAATAGGAATCAAAAGCTGACATCCTTGACTTCCCAATGAAACAATTCTCAGACTGATAGCTGTTCTGGAAACCGAGATCTGAACGGTTAAAGATGAGCATCAATATCGATAATATCGATAAGCAAGTCTATATGCCGCTGTTTTTGGATAGACCTACCATGTGGGGGGTGGGACAAATGCGACCTTTTTGCGCCCCTTTTTTTGGGAAAGGCCTTGGGGCAAGGCTGTAGGCTTCGAAAATATTTCATATAGGGGAATGTATGCTGATTCCAATTTCGACAAAAACCTCGCTGACACGTCAAATTTGGGCTAAAGGCAAAAACTACGCAACTTAACCCTTTTTGCCTTTTGCCCAAATTTGCGTATCAGCGGGTTTGTCGTTTCGGTTCGATCCCCTACGATTCCCTTATGAAAAATTTTCGAATATTTTCGAACCGGTCGTCTTCCCAAGGCCTTTCCAGCAAAAAAGGTGCGCAAATGTCCAGGTGGGAAAAAAGGTCGCATTGCCCCCCCACCATGTGGGTTGTTTTGGAAGAGAGGCAGCTAATAAGTTGCATATTTTCAGTTTAGTTGTCGAGCAAGGCAACTTCAGCGTGTTAGCTGAATATTTTTGGTAAAATTAATTATCTTTTTAAATGTCTTTTCATATACAAAATTATTTTTTATTCTTGTCATTCATTTGTCATTCGACTTTTCCTGTGGTCTTGATTTGCGCTGTTTTTGTTTCCTTTGATAACAATTTATTTTTTAGGATGTTCAACTTTGGCACCTTGCGCCTACACTTAACGGAGATAGCAAATGGAGGACGAGCAATTGATGCAAAGCCGGAACCAAGCAAGAAGAGCGTGGTTGGACGAGAGATTGTGCTTTTTATACATCAAATTTCTTTTTTTCAAGCTCCGTTTTGTGCCCGTAGCTGGGCTGAAGTTACCCGAGCCGAACGGAGGAGAAGCCGACTTCCAAGCAGACCATATCACCTACATGTTCAACCATCAGGTAACTTTTAAGGTTGTGTCTCTGTTGGAAGTTACTTGTGGGCACTGAAATTTTTTTATAGATGCCATCGATTGGAATATCGTCTTTTTTTGATTCAGAACGTCGGATCGCGCTCGTCGACTACACCTTTTCCGTGTTCACCTATACGAAGCGCCCGCTCGAAGCCTACTTCTTGGCTATTCACATTTTGGACCACACGCTTAAGGCCAGTTTTAATGTATGCAAATTGACTCAATCTCGCAGTTCAGGCTCAAAGCAACAAAATCAAGCGTCTGCCTGACGAGGAAATCGCACCGATCATCATTGCTGCTGTCGAAATTGGAAGCAAGGTGAGTTTTTGCCAACTTTCTTCTCGAAATTTTTTGTTTAGTGCGAAATACTTTACGGGGTTGCTCATCACTTTACGAAGACCTACGGAGCTGACAAGATTCGCTTTTGGGAGCGGGAGGTAAAATGAATCTTTTGTTAATTTTCTACCATTTTTTAGCATCTTCGTATCTTCGATTTCAACATTTCCTACACTCATGTTCTCCACTTTCTACGAATCTATCAGGTAAGCGGTTTTATTAGGATCAAATACATCAAGTTTAGTGTATGACTGGGAACCTGATGAAGACTCACTTGGACGTTTGCTGGGCAACTATCAAAGGGCTCGCCTGCATTGCCGTAGCAAAGTCATCTCTCGTCGACGTGTTGCCATCTCTACTTGCCGCCGCAATTATGCGAATCGTGCTGGAACTTTTTGCTCAACGTCGCCTGCTTGGCGTTGAACTTGTAAGTTTATGCTTCAATACCATTAAATGATTTGCTTTAGAATTCGCAAATCATCATGCATCTTCAACACACCGAAATGGAGCACATACCCCCAGCCTTGGATCTACTGAATTGGCTTCTGACTCAACCAAAAGTAAAATCGGTAAATGCTAATTTGTATTTTGGTTTTATTGAGGAATATTTAGATTACGAGTCACTTCAGCCAATTGAAAGTCGGATTCGCGAAATTGGAGATCGAAGCGATCATCAACAAATTGAAGACAAGAGAGGAACTCCATATGGAAATCAATTAAGCATGCTTTGAACATCTTTGCCTTTATAACATTATGTATGTATTTTGTTTCATTTTGTGCATGCTTATTTTATTTATTTGCTAATTTGTTTTTTTTCAAGATTGTAACTTTCTTTTCATGGTGATCGGATAAATATTGTGAATGCTTTTACGGAAACAAACTAGTGGTAGAACTCCGCGTTTATACCATGCACAGGTGATTGATGCGCTTGGAAAGCAATCGGTGCACCATTTTTTGTGTGTGGAATGTCAGTTGATTACAAATTGTGTACAGTAAGCGTTAACTTTTACAAATAGCTTTCGCGAGAGCTTTTTCGTTGGCATCGGTTACATGGTTGATGTTAGATGGCTTCGAATTCGGCACAATTGGTGAGCTCTATTAGCGACTTCGGGGAATAATAGCAATCTCTCTTATACAAAGTTCTCGTCTACAGAAAAATGAGGTCCGCTTTAGACAAACCTTTCTTGGGTACCTTATCGACCATGCTGGCTTCTTCGTTGGCCAAATGTGACGATAATGATGGATTGTGCAATCGATTATTCGTCGATGAGCCATTTCTTGCCTCAATGTTACGGAGAAAAGTAGAGATTGAATACCTTTAACTTTAAATCTTAACTTTAGTACTCGCTTGAAACAGCTTAACGATTATTTTGATGACGTAAAATGTTTCAAATCGATGACGGTCAACGATCGAGAATTTGTTTTCATCGATTCGACTCCTGAAGTCCACACAGTACCGGTGAGTGTTAAAAAGATGTTGAGTTTAATGTGATTTTAGATGAACACGGTGCAAATGGACTGCGTTGACGCGATTCTCATCTCAAATCCACAATCACTCGTTGCGTTGCCATTTTACTGCGAGAACACGAATTTCAAAGGAGAAATCTACGCAACAAGCCCCACAATTCAATTTGGCCGGTTCGCTTTGATTTTAGTTTTGAACGAGCAGTGCTTTTAGTCTGTTGAGTGAAGAGCTTATCGAGTACTTTGAGCGCCTTGCCAATGAGCCATCAACTGAAAATTGGAAAAAACTCAATTTGAAAAAGTAGTGTTTTATTTTAAAATAAACTTTTTTTTCCAATCTTTAGGGTACTACCACCACCGATAAGTCGACGGCAGGTTGCTCCTTTGGAATGGCGACGATTCTACTCGCTTCAAGATCTGGAGGCGGCTTTAAAGAGAATAACCGTTATTGCATTTCAAGAAAAAGTGGTGGGTTTTTGAAGTTTTTATTTTATATGAGTAAAATTTCAGACAGTGCTAGGTGTTGTAAATGTGACCGCTTACGGGAATGGTTTTGCGATCGGATCATGTAATTGGCTTATTAACAATGAATTAGAAAAGGTAAAAAGTTTTTTTATTTTACACATCTATTTTTTTAGGTCGGCTACATGTCGGCAACATCGAGTAGAACTTCACATACACGTCCGGTCGATTGGGTGGGACTTCGAGGGGCTGATCGTCTCGTGTTGACTTCACTCGCCACAGCGTATGATCCTCCAGAAGTTTTTCAAAAAGTTAGATTAGATTTATAACTTTTATTTCAGAAACTTCTCACCTCTCTCCTCACGACGGTTATTGAAACCCTGCGAGCCGGTGGAAATGTGTTGATGCCTATTTTCCCTACCGGAATTATTTTTGACTTCATAGATCTCATTTCAACGCATATTGACAATGTAACTTTCAACGATTTTTAGAAATATTTTTGCTTCGTTTAGCACGGAATCTCACACGATGTGCCCATTTATTTCATTTCGCCTGTTGCTAAAAAGACGTTGGCCTTCTCAAATATTAATTCGGAATGGTTGATCGAAACAAAGCAGGAAAATGTTTGGAAAGCCGAGGAACCATTTTATCACGCGGCTGTCCGTTAATTTTGCTCATTGCCCAATCGCATTAGATTTAGTTGTTGAAAAATGGTCGCTTGAAAGTCTACGACTCTCTCTATGGATCATTCAGCCAAGAATACAGGCAAAGTTTTAGAGAATAAAATAGGTAATCTCAAATTTAGATCGCCATGCGTTTGCTTTGCAGGACATCCTTCTTTGCGAATCGGCGATGCTGCTCATCTCTTGGAAATGTGGGGGAAATCCAAAAAGAATGCCGTTATTCTTACAGGTAGAAGAAAATCATTTTACTTGCCTATAATGATTGATGTCGTTCAGAACCCGATTTTCTACCAGCAGAAGTGTGGCCACCGTTTTCGGACTTGGCAATTCGTGTGCTCAATTTCCCGATTGACACGAGAATCGATTTGGTCCAACTCAATCAAACAATTCTAAGTGACTTGAAGCCCAAAGTTTGTCAAAAAAGATTGTGTAAGATTTGTTCATTTTTAGTCTTTATGCATTCCAAGTTTCTACAATAAAAGGACGGAAACCGGTGCTCAAATTATTGGATTTGTGAGTTGCTTAAAGTTTTCATAAATTTCTGAATTTTAGAGTCCTTATGCATCGATTAGTTATGAAGAGACGGTGAGCTTGGGTGGAAGAACAACTAAACGAAAACGTGTGAAGATTCATCCCGAGGTTGATCAAAGTTTTTTACCATCAAAACAGGCTCTTTAGTTGATAAAATACCTCGAAGTGGCAGGAAATGAGAAAAGCCAACGAGGGGTCGGCTACGGACAATTGCGAGGATTTCTCAATGCTTTCGATAACACTTTTGAAATTATGGTCAGTTTTTGTAGTTCCTGTTTAAATTTTACTGATACTTTAGCCGGCAAAAAGCAATCAAACTCTGCGACCAAGGTATTCGGGAAAATTGGATGTCGAATTGTTAAAAGCTGCACTCGATGAGGTTGAGTAGCGAATCTTTAAATTGTTAATTTCAAATTTAGAGACAAATAACTTACACCTGTGAGCAAGATGACGGAAACCACGTTATTACTACGGTTAGTGGGTTTGACCTATATTTTGAATGTTTTGTTAACGCAAACGGAGGTATTCTTTAGGAGAAACCATCGACGGTGATCACAATTTACAAAGATGGCTTGCGAACGAATGTCGAGGCAGTGGTGGATGAAGAGCGAAATCGGATAGTTGATGTACTCGGAAGTTGTTTAAAACCGATTCCTTAATTTATTTGTTCCTTGTTTTTTGTTTGTTTTATTTCATTTTTGTAAATATCGTTACTGTAAATTGGAATAAATATCTATTATTGTGAAAGAATGTGAAGAAATTGTTTTGTTCATCTAATATTGAAACTTGCCAAAGATTATTTTGATCCATGCCGTGCCGTGTAAAGTAAAGTATTTGTTTGTGTAAAATATGCAAGTTTTTGGACTTTGGGTAATTAGCGTGACCACGGTTGTTGAGTCACAGCGGTTTTAAAACAAAAATAACTAATTTATTCAGGAATGCGCTAATGATGCGACCAAATTTGATTCGCCTGGCTGGAAATTTGTTCTCTTCGACGGGAGCCCATGGCGACTCAAGGAGGCAACTCAATCTGGCTAGACCATTTACGGTACGCGTTTATGTTTCTTTTTTGTTCTCTTCACAAAATATTGAGTGTTGACTTGAAAATATGTAGTTGTAGAGGTCCTTGATGATAGCGGGAAGATAAATTTATGAAGTTAGATTGTAAGGTCCTTATTGGGAGTCGAAAATAATAGCATAGGCGCATTACATAGATTTTGTATAAAACTTACCAATAATGCTGTGTACGGTGTGAATTAATAAATTTAAAATGTGAATTAACAGTGAATAATGATCGGATTTAGGGTCACCGACCGATGACTGCATCGATGTCTACTTCAATTCCCATCGATGTACTCAAAAATACGGCAAAGGTGGAAGATTTTTATAGTAACGGTTCTATTAATGTTTAGGCAAAAGTCGAAGGTGAAAAGTTTGGTGAGGAAAAGTCACAAAAAGACGAACAAAATATGGAGGCTGCAGACAGTAAGTTTATCTTGTTTTTAGTTCAAAACATTGAACTAGCATTTACTCTAGAGCTGCTTGGGTCGAAAATAGCGATACCGAGCCAACACCGAGCCCAAGAACACGAAAAATGGAATAAAATCGAAGTGATGTCTCCCGAAGAGGTTAGTTTGTGTGATGTCAATTAATATTTTCTTAGGCTGAAAAGCTCCGGGCGAAGTACGCTCAACAAGCCGATGACAAATTGGTGAAAGAACAAGGCTGTGGACCGAATTCGTTTGTGTCAAAAAGTGAAATCGAGAATCTTTTGCTCTTCGAAACGCCACTTTTAGCCCTGATTCTTCCATATATTTTGAGGACACGCGGCGCCGATTTGGAGGGAAATTCGATAACTTTGTGTAATTTTCACGATCTCTATTTGGCTAATCTACTCAAAAAGGTTTACTTTTGTAATCTGAAAACACTGATTGTCTTTTTTAGAAAGGCTGCAAAAACATTACACTTGTTGAGAAGTCCTTTGACAATTCACAGATCATAAAGGTGAGTTTATTCACAAGAATAATTGGTGCAATATTAAACCGAACGCTAGGAAAAATGAAAGTTTCGATTGAGAACTTGGGGAGCTAAAGAAGGCACTTCTCACTCGATTGTGTCCACCTGTAATTTGCGTTCCTTTTAGCTTTTAGTTGTTTTCAAACCAAAACTGTCGTGGTTCATGTTGAGTTCATAGTCAATTACGGTGTCTCTCTGGTTGTTTTGGTGTCGATTGTGGCTTCTGAATTGAGCTTGTTGTGCTCGTCGATCAAAGACCACCATATTTGAGTTGTTTGAGGGCTCCCTAAAGTTCTTAGCTGTATTTTAGAGTTACTCAGACTCAGCTTGACCCTGATTATAAGAGCCTCAACAGGGTTTTTTTGTCAAATTTTTCTCACCTGCTTATGTGGACCAGCTCGGAGTTCGTCCTACTAAAAATATTGAGCTTTGTGTGAGCCGGTGATTGACCATTTGAGGCTTCAAGAGACGATGATGCTGGACTTGCTCTTTGGGAATGATGATTGATTCCTGATTGATAGTGTTGCTGATGATAAGACGCATGAGACCGATGCTGATTTTAAAAATATGATTCGTTTTCCACTATCACCTACCCGATGTTGAGGTTTTACTCTTCTACGACTCGTCAGAGTGTGCGTATTTCCCTCTTGGAATACAGTCACATGGCACTGCCAAACACCGGCATCTTCTAGTTTTGTTTTGCAAGGAAACTCGTTTTCTTTTTGTTTTGTACCTTCAACAATGACCGGCCGAATCTCCATCGAAAAATCTCCAGTCAATTCGTCGTAGTCGAACCAGTAACGACCAAAATTTTCAGAAATCCGAAGAACATTTTTGCCTATAATTGAAGCTAGCTCTTCATTTAACTAGAATCCATCTCTATGGCTCCATCAATCTTTATTCATCTAACCTGCAATTGCCTTCTTGTTATGTGTAGTGAGTTTATTGTCGATTCGTCGAACTCCATCAACAATTTTCAGCCAAATCGCGTCGTTTAGTGTCCAAGTGACTTCGATTTGAACCTAGTGGATTGTCAATTTGATCGAGAATTTATCTAGTTACCTCATCTTTTGAAGCATCGGTGACATGGGGGCAATTCAATGAGAAAGACTCAAGTTGATTTGTGTTAGGATTCGTGATAGCCGAGAATGCGGTCACATAGGGAAGCGGGGCATCTACAAGGAAAAAGGTTTACTTGAGGATTTTAACCCAACTTTTTCCTTCGGCAAGCGAGTAGGAGACAAGTGAGTGGAGCAGTAGCAATATCTAAAAATATGAACTTTTCGAAATTCTTTGAAACCCACGTTAGCTACATGCAGTTTCATGTTGGCAAAAAGAGCATCTTGTTTAGGTTTTCAATCTCTCCATGAATGCGCGGATAATCTGAAACGTGAAAATTATTTGAAAAAACAAAAATTTTAGACAACGTTGATTCAGAGATCGGGGAAGCTCGAGCATCAATAGAAAGAGGTTGTACGAGCTCGTTTTTTTTGCACTCCTTAACTCTTTCCGACTCGTATCAGCCGGGGAAAAGTGAGGTGGAAATGAGATTTGAGCGGTTTTTTTTGCACTTTGTGAAGACCTGATTCGGAAATTCTTTCCACAAAATTTATTTTGATTTTAGATCGTGAAAAGCATTTAGTGGGAAATTTGAGAAAAAAAACTGGTTCTAGTGTAGATTTTTTTTGGGGAAGATTAGCCTCACTCAGCATTCGGTATTAGTTTTGAGTGATGGGGATTTAGGTTGGACTCTGTTCATTAGCTTTAAAAAGTTTTTTTTTGGTGGAAAGCTAGGGTTTTTAGCAGCTCATCACATATGTGAGAACTTTACACTTTGGAGTTGGAGGGGTTTGTTTCTTATAGAACTTTTAGAAGTTCTTTGGGAGATTTGGACTAGATCTTCCTCGAAAACCTTTGGTGACTAGAGTGTTAAACAAAAACAAAACAAGCTGTGAGAGGAAGAACATATCGGCGTAGATGGATGGGTTGCCCAAATTGTGGGTATGGATGGGGTGGATGGGGTGGAGGGTATGCGTGTGTTCTTCCATTTCATTCCCTTGGGTCGGCTTGTCATCATCTCCAGTCGGTCCTTCTTTTTGGCCAGGCACAACATTCTTTTCTCTTCTCTTTTGCCACAACACTATGTGTTAGAGGCTCTTCTCTTTCTTTTGCACATAACAAAGAGGATATGACTAATTTGCGCGCACATCCCATATAGGCAAAAGGAGATGAATGGAGATGAGAGAAGAAGAGATGGGTGGAAGGAAGAGGCAAAATGTGCAACGTTCCTTTATGAAAAACTCTTTGGGTCGATGGACTGTGGTTAGTGATGGGGATTTCTTGTTCGTAATTTGAGAATTCGGCATTTATGCGGAAATGAGAACGGTAGTCTACAGTAATACTTCGAGCCTTTCTAGATTTTTTTTCACTTGTTTGTGCATACAACAAACCGGTTTAGTTGCGTCGAAGTTCGTCTGTTTGTTGAAGTTTACTTGGTAAACGGTAAATGAATAATTTTAGGGTTCAATTGACAAGAGTCTTCTGAAGAAAAACTTTGTAAAATTAAAATAGAATAAATTGAAAATCTACGAGTATACAATAAGGAAGGATACGCCAAAAGGTTTCAATTAAAAGAATACGTTGCATTGAGCTTTTTAGGGGGATCGTTGATGGTTAGTGAACCCTCTATGACAAGTAGAGACACCGATATGTCTGTTCGCATCTGTCTCAATGCCTCTTTTTCCATTTTGGGCGAACGGGGTGAAAATTGATGAAATGCAAATGAAACGGCTGTCGTTTCACTCACTCTTCTCGCGCATTCACTCCTTTTTTGGGAAAAAGGATCCCCGCGGGGATTTGTGAATTCAATTGTGAAGAAAAAAGAGTGTGGATTTGTTTCATAGAGAGTGTGGATTTGTTTCATAGAGAGCCTGGATTTGATTACTAGAAATAACATGTGGTTTTGGAAGGGATAAGGTCTTGTTTTATATTGAATTACGGTAGCTTTTCCAGAGCGCACTTTTTAGAAAAATCTTTAGAAAATCTGATCACTTGACTTTCCAGTCTTTTAAAAACCAAATAATCAACGTTTTTTCAGAACGAAATCCCGAAACGATTCCCAGATGGTGAAGTGAAAGGACTTTATGGAGATGCTATGCTCTTCCTAGCATATGGTTGGCTATTTTGCTTTTTTTGTTACCGATCTATTTTTCAGGTAAGGCACGTCATTCTAGAACCTATCAAAGACTTCTCAATCGAACAAATGCTGACAAAGAGATTCCATTGAAACTCACCTATGAAGAACGGAGTGGTTAGTAAGATTGAATTTATGTTGTTACAATTTTTACTTTAGATTTCCGTAAGAGCACACCATTGTTGATCTACACGATACCGTTAGCGACTAAACAAATGTCGATGTTCACCAGCTTAAAGTAGATTTCTACTTTGTGACTTTAATGGATCTTTTTTTAGGAGAGGTTTACTACAAAATTTATCCGGTCATGACGGTTTGAGTATGTTCAATTATGGGCATTTCGAGTTTATCACTTTTCTGCACCCAGTGTAAGCTTTTTGATGATTCGATGGCTTTAAAATGAGATATTCAGAGCGTACTTCACCATGACATGCAAGGTGGATCCGGAGAAGCGGGATAATTTAGGCAAGAGAAGGTAAAGTTTTGTTGAATAGACATGGAATCGGATTGAAAGATTATTTTTGAGTAAGTGTCAAGGTGGTCAAGGTCCGATTAGATTCTGATACAACGAAAAAGCTCTAATCCATTGTTATAAAAATAGATTTTTGTCATCACTTGTGCCATACTTTTTTAACTTCAGGAACGCTTACCTCTTTAATAAACTCTTCGACGTGGATGTATTACGTAACACCCGTATTCACCTAGGATGGTTTGTCATTTGTAAATCAGTCAAAAGTCTTTTGCTTTAGTGATCATTTTTCACCAAAATTGGAACAATACCCATGGACTAAGCCAGAAATGGTTAGCTTTTTTTACCAGATAAACGATCATTGATTTAGTTTGGAACAATACCCGCTCCAATAATCGCTGTATCAATTCGCTCTCGGTCTGCCATTCGGATAGGCGGATATCCGGTGATGAATGATGCGGAGGATAACTCGGAAACGGCGTATGGTTTTAGATTTTGGAAAAAAGCCCATAGATACTTATTTATTATAAAAGCATGACTGAAGTACAGGGGGCGGAAAAAGTATTTGCCGTGGTAGAAAGATCTAAAAACGTTTCAAGTAGTGATTCTCCAATGACCATTATTATTTTGTATATGAGAAAAACATTCAGTTTCCAAATTATCTTACTTATTGATTAGATCTTTCACTTTCAAAAAGTTTGAGTTTTATGGAAAAATGACCTGCGGGACCTAATGAGAAAAACATGCCATACATATGTACCAAAAAATGTAGCTTTTTACCAAAGCTGACTACGAAATTTTACTTTGAAAGTCGAAATACAATGTAGATTGTTATTATCAAATTGCAAATATCGCTTCAACTTTTAGCACTTTTACATTAAAGACGGCAAATACTTTTTCCACACTCTTGAATTGATAGAGAAATACGGACCAATTATCACATTTTATTTCTTTTAGAGTACTTTCAACAAACGAATTGCTGAAGTTTTGCTTTTTAATTTCCGAAGTTGCGCTGAAAGAGAACGCTAAACGAACAGCCGAAGAACTATTTGGGTTTGGGGTTGTTTTTTGTTTGTATTTAAAAACTCTAGAATTCTTTGCGGCGACAAGGGAAGAGCGGTCGCAAAAGGGCTCGATTTGACGAAGTAAGGGATTTTTTAAGTAAAATGAGTTTTTAAGTAGACTGTTTAAAAAATACTAGCAAGGGAAGTTAAAACTTCGGTTTCAAAAATTCAATTTATCAATGCTTTCATTTTTCAGAGTCAGCACGGTCCCCAACGAGGCTCTCGAGGAGGCTTTCATTGAACTACGCTCGGAGCTCCAAGTGCCAATCGATTGGAAAGTTACTGAGACGATGCTTTAATCGGCTTCATTTTTGTACATCATCATTTTACTTCCGTTGATCTCATTATTGTTATTGTTGCTCAATTCCTATAACTTTCTTTGCTTTACCCTTTTTCTCCGGTGATTTCCCGTACCTCGGTGTATATTTGTTGCAATTTCTTGTAAAGTTTTCATTTAAAGCTCTATCTCCTTAGAACGTTTGTTCTCATATTGGCTCGAATTTTGTCACTTTGTCACTTTTTTGGAATCTTGTTTGTTTATAGTTATAAAATGTCATATCTTTTATTTACCAAATAACGGTGATGATTGAGGCCGGGCCGATGTGGATGTTCGCGTAACCGGCACTATTTGTGGTGTCCTGCAGAGAGAAATCGACACCATTCTTGATATTTCGGTTGAGAATGACGGCTACTTTTTGCGAGCCGTCGGAAGAAATGAAAGCGGTTCCTGAAAATTGGCTATGCTTAGGCTATGCATATTGCTCGAGTATAAGGTATGAAAGCTGCAAAATACGTTAACTTTTTCAGGTGCACATTTTAGAAAACAGTCTATTTAAAATCGCAACAACAAACCTTCCAAACTGGACGGCAACGCGATGTGCACCCGAATGTATCCAGGGCGAAGGAATTTACTGAAATGTCCCAATCCGTAGAACATTGGATTTTTGATGAATTCATCGGTTGTCGGCAACGAGGTCATCGGGGCGTCCACGAAATTTCCCACCCAGTTCGGGCCACCCTGAATGTATTTGCTAACGCATTTATAACAGGCTATTGGTGTAAGGTTAAACCCAGATTACTCGTTTGAAATCGTTATGTATCCATGAAATTATCGTATCTTAATTTTAAGCACTCCAACTAACCTCAATATCGAGAATGAGATTCCAATCGTTCCACCCGGTCGCCCAATGATTGAGATCTTCGATGATATTGTGCGCATACTGATCCACTCCCCACCAGGCACCAAGGACAACATCTCCATTTGAGGCTTTCCACCATGAGCAAGCCTAAATTTTGGGGAAATTAGAGAAACGTACACTATTGGCCAATTGAAGCCAATAATGTATGCAACCCGACCTCTGTGTACATGATCCATTTGCTTGGATATCTCGAGTTGAGCGTATCAAGTACTCCCGGCCCAGTGTTGTTATCATCGTACCAATGCACGGCAATCCCGTCCACGTATTTCGCCGATTCGGGATCGCTGAGAATCTGGAAATGGGTTTTGAGAGCGAAGATTCTTTTTTGAAAAATCAATTTTGGTTTTAAAGTAAAGAAATTGATAAAGCTTGATAATTGATCTTTTAGTTATCACTCACGACATCGGCAAAAGCCGGATAAACGTAGCGTTGATCATCGCCGATCATGATTTTGAGGTTTTTCGTGACATCCGACGATTTCAGCTGCGGACCGAGCGAGTACTTGATAAAATCTCTGTAAATGCCGAGAAACTTTGTAAATGTAAAATAAGCAGTCACTTCTCAACTTGAAGACTGCTTTTTTTACAAGAAATCCACAAATTATCAAGCATCTCCAAACCTTTCAAGTGATCCATTGAAGAAAAGCGCTTGCCATCCGTAATCCGGATTCGCCGCCTCGGTGGGCTCATTCTCGGGCGTCATCCCCCAGAAATTCACGCCCAATTTCGAGTACTCCTCGAAAAAGCTGAAAATTTCGGTGATGATTGAAGAGATGAGAGTTTTTTTTGTAAGCTTTTGTACTGTAAAATTGATTGAATTGATTGTACAGGGTGACCAGAAATAACGTTGCGGCCTAATTTAGGCTATTTTTTTAAAAATCCAAAAAGATTTTGTAATTTCGAAGAAGAGTCGAAGAGTCGAACTCGCTTTTTTTCGTCGTCGAGTTGTGGCCCTTGCTTGAGCTTGTAAGGGTGAAGATTGAGCTCATTTTTGGCTTTTGTCGAACCGATTAAGTCGAACCGATTCGCGAGCGATCCCCATCTGTTGAGGGATCTTTCTCGTTGAGATCTGTGAATTCTGGGCCACGCGCTTCTGAATCACTTTGCGATTTCTGGAGGTGTTGACTGTTCTTTTTCTGTCTCTCCCTGAAGGATCTCCATCGTTGCCAAGCTCCTTGTATCGCTTAATCGCTTTTGAGACGAGCTGATGAGAAACACTTAGCAATCGCGCGATCGCACTCACGCATTGACCTTGACGACGAAGCTCCAGAATGGCATATCCCTTGTTTGTCATCCTATAAAAAAATGAATAGACTTGAAACAAAGTAAAGCAACAAAGAAACTAATAAAAACAATCACAGAGAATAGGTTAAAAATAAATTTGTCTCCCAAAACTGAAACTTTGAGGAATTTAGGCTGCCGAAAATCCCGCAACGTTATTTCTGGTCACCCTGTACAGTGATCTTGCTTAGTTTTGAAACGTTTTGGAATTCCAAGCTTCAAAATAGACTCTTTAAAGAGTTTAATAGGCTTAAGAAACGAACCAGAATTCAGTTTTAAATTTTTGAAAAGATGAAGAAGAGAGAACAATGAAATCTTGGAATAGAAATGTTCAAGTTTCAAAAGAAATGATGATTTGGGATTATTCTTCTTTTTAGTTGTTTGATTTCAAAAGTTCAAAAAGTAAGTCCTGCATTTGATCAAATAAAGATCAGTAAGAGTTTTCCTCTTTAAAATAACCTCACCGTCGATAGTAGGTGGCGAAAGCCATGTAGTATGGACCATTCGTTGAGCCGAGGAGAAAGCCGCCACCCTGGGAAAATGTGTTTGTAAAAATTCTGATTGATAAATAATTTCAAAATTAAAGTATGATTGCAAGACATAAAAAGCGCAAGTTATCGATAGAAAGTTTCATGTTTGGTCGAGTGTAAACTGGGACTTGGATTTTAATTCCCTCCTTTTCCAGTTTGATTTTAAATTTCTGAAAACACGCTAAGAATAAGTATAAAGTTGAAAATTTTATCTCACCTTCATTCTACCCGTATTTTTCATCCATCCAGGCGAGCTCCATGCGTTCGCGAAAAGCTTCAACTCGGTGCCGGTGCCTTTCGCCAAAGCGAGCGCTTGCTGGAGAAGGGGAACCTGGGAATTTGATTTGTTTAAGAATTTGTGACATTTATATTATTAGCCGCTTGTTTATAGCTTACTATTAGTTACTGTATCGAAAATCGACTCGACTAAAGTCATTAACACATTGGCGATCGTGTGTTTTTCTGAAAACTGTCGGCTTTGACCACGAGGAGTCAGTAAGACTAGCTGCTTGCAAATTTGTACTGTTGGGAAGTGGTTTCCACAAATCGTTTTCTGTTTTTCACTAAATTGCGTTTGGGAATTTGGGAGTTTGGGAAAAACTATGCACAAATGTTTGAGATCGCTTGAGATTTTTGAGATTGAGATGCCCCAAAGTTGGCTGTAAGTTTGGCTGTTTTTGCGACAAATTCTACACCCTGTTAAGCCAAAATTAGCTAAAAATAAGAAAAGGTTGAAATTGACGCGAAAAGATTTCATCTTTTAATACCTCATGCTACATCTACGAGTTCTTTTGCATCCGCAATAATTGTAAAGACGGAGTGTCAATGCGAAATCGCATAGAGGACACTTTAGGCCTACAAATGCCACCAGATGGAGTTGGATTGGATTAACCAATTATGAGAAAATCAAGATACAAAATTCCCAAGCTCGATCGCATTGTTCTCTGAGTTTAGCTACTGTTTAACCAACTAATTGTTGGACCCAGAAAACGGAGGTTTTGGGTTCTATGTGCTCAAGAATTGTTCAAAAATACAGCCAAATTTAAGGCAAAAATTGATCCCAAGGATTTGGACATAGTGATGTCCAGAAAGGCGGAGTTGGCTGGCTGCTGGCTCAGTCGCTATCCGTTCCGATTGACGGAGTTTATTTTAACCATTTGTCCCAAGAAAACTCCCAAGAGAATCGAATTGCTTTTGGGTTTTGTATCTGATAAATGAAAAACCCGGATTCCCGAGAAAAAAACTTGAGTTTCAAAGTTTCTCTGATCATTTTAAACTCCTCTGGGTCAATCGACCAATCGGTCAAACATAAAATAGGCAAAATTTGAGTCAAGCAGTTCAATGATTCCATAATTGTTAAGCAAATTTCAAAAGCTTTTCAATATTAGGTTTTTTTCAGTGTCACCTTCAATTTCGTATCCTCATCGACGAGCTTGAAAGTCGTCATATTGAAGTCGCCGACCGTGTCACAAAGGGAATAGGGACGAGTCGAGAAATCACAAGAACCGACCGGGACACGGGTCATCGTGTATTGAATATGTATATGAATGGATTATGAATGCCCATTATGAATGGGACTTAACCTTTTGCCTCCTTATTCAGTACTTGTCCGTTATACATCCACAAAGACTCAACTCAGTTGCAAGGAGCTGACAACGTGTGAGCGGTGATTATGTTCAGTGACGTAGAGTGCGCATTATTCGGTACTCGTCGGTTGTACATCCACAAAGACTCATCTCTGTTAAGCATCCCCATCCGAGTCTTCTCGGTTATCAATTTTCGTTCGACTGAGCGACTGATCGACTGATCACTTCAGGCCTACTTCACTGAACATACTCACCGCTCACAAGTTGTCAGCTCCTTGCTTAACCGAGTTGAATCTCTGTGGAGTCTCTGTATAACCGACAAGTATCCATTATCCTTTATTATTTTCATTATTATTATTATTATTATTATTCAACCTTAATCGTTCCAACGGGATCAATATCATCACAATATGTCGCATTGCAGACACATCCAATCGCCGGAACACCGCCCGCGTCCGTGAAAACCCGTTGCACACAGGGTTTCTTCGCTGGAAATGGGGGAAATAAAAGAAATTACTTTTGCACTTTAAAAAAACACTTTGATTTTGGAGATAAAGTGAAAAAAAACTGATCGATGACTAAACGCTGAACGAATATTTTGTTAATCAGTTAGGAAACGGTAAATTTAGCAAGCGCTTACTAAAAGCAACACACTTAATGCCGGAAAATATACGTTACAGATCTTTTTAACAAATCCAAAATTGAAAAACTCTAGCTTTACCAGAAAAAGACTCAGTCAAATAGGCAAGAATTTGAAACTCAAAGGCTTTTACACTCAAAATTTTTACCTGCAACTCCTAGAAATAACAGAAATAATGAAGCAAAAATAGCTCTTCCCATTTTTGTTTCGAGGGAAAGTGCCTTCAACAAAGTTCTCGGCTATTCTTATCACCAAAACGTGGTGTCCATCTCAGAATCAAAAATCTCTTCAAAAATTGGTTTATGGGGACCGTTTTTTAGGAAAAATGCGAAAAATACGGAAAACGAGTTGTTTTCTTTGAACTTTTGACCGCAGATTTAGTTTTTTTTTGGGAAATTTTCACTTCAAAAACAATTCATTAGCTTCTCAGAAAGCTCAATTCTCAAAATGATCAGGTATCAACCCTTTCAATTAGTGCACCTAATGAAATAACTGTTTTTTTTTCGAGGAATCGCAACCAAGCGTACTTTGAACAGTCAATCGGATGAGACCACCTTGTTTTAGAGGCTTTCGTCAACGCTTTTTCATTCATAAACGGCTTTAAATGATGTTCCAAAGATTGACAAGAGATTAATTGTCAGATTAGGTAATCAAAAGATCAATGGTCGAGGTCTAAATGCGGGGAGTTTGGCTATTTTTTGGCCAAACCCTTTCAAACCTTTACAGTTTTTTGGTTTAGGTTGGAAAGAAAGTTCTCGAAAAAAGTTTGACTAGAATTTCTTCAAAAACGAACCCACGAATTCAAGAACTTTTATTCTATTATTAACAAGTTGACTCTAAGAAATTACTCGCAAAAAAAACGAGTGCAGCTTTCTCTTAAAATTTTAGAGATTTTTGAAGAATTATTACTATTCCAGCTTAAATTCAGTTCACTTTTTGCACGAGAAAAAGAGCTTTTTTTGCTTCATTATTGTTATTTCTTCTGTCATTTCTAGGAGTTGCAGGGAAGAATTTTGAGTGTAAAAGTTTCGAGTTTCAAATTCTTATGAGATAAAGCTAGCATAAATGAGCAATACGCTTTGTAATCTCTATTTTTAGCCAAGAAATTTTTTACCGAGAAGCTGTATTTCATAAAATCATTTTTTAGTGTCATCTTCTCAGCACTGAGTATTTGCTAAAATAGGTGATTCTGAAAAGTTGATTTAACTTTAATTAGATAAAATTTGCCTTAATCACAAATTTTCCCTATTTTAAGTACTTGATTTTAGGTTTTGAATGGGACTCATTGCCTATTCATTAACCCATTAAAAGCTTGTCTAAAAGCTGGTCACTCAAAAAGTGATCAAGTCACTTCAGCTCAAGAAATCTCTTATTTTTTTGCCTGAAGCCTACTCTGATTTTTTTTGTCAAAACTTTTTGAAATATAGTCAAGTTTATGAAAAAATCTGGGAAGAATTGATGGCTTTGTTTTTGAGAAATCACCGTGCAAACTTTTTCCGCGAACTTTCTTTCCAACCTAATAGAACTTGATGAGCTGAATCAAATGATGCCAAGAAGGGATTGATTGGTCGATGAGTGCAAGTCTTGGCACTGTCTGGATCGGATTGGGAATTGATTGTCGAGAGAATTTTAAACCTCAACAGCTTAGCCTGCTTTCTATAAAGCAAAAATCATTTCTATAAGAATGGAATTAAGAAAAAATTCTGTAATTTCTTCATTTCAAACAAAAGAGATTCATTTTAATCATAGCACTATCACATTAGAATTAGATTTTTCAAGCTCAACGAGACTGTAGCAACTTTGAAACTCGAAAAAACTGAAAGTTTCATAACTTGGAAATTTGCTTGTTTTTTGTCATTTTATTATCAAAACTTCAAAAAAAAACATCGAAAATTATAAATAAATAAATTTTTTTTCAAATTTTTATTGTCTTTTTTCGACGAAAAGCTTGACTCCATCGGTTGGACGCATCAAAACGGCGTTGATTCTGATAGGTAAATCGCCCTAGAAAATGAGCAAGCTTTGGCTGATCTAGGAAATTTCTGGTTTAAAAAAATTGATTTATAATTGACATTAAAGTCGTTTCCCTTAACTGTTTGCCGATAAAGTTGAACTTTCAAAAAGAAAAAAATGTTGACAAAATAATAGCATTCATTTTAAATGTGGATACAATTTTTTAAATCTATCTTTTTTTGTCTTTCAAATAGAATACAATAAATTTTTTTATTGGTTTGGCTTGAGATCTGAGAATCTTTTATGTTTTTTTAAATAGAGATCAAAGATCAAAGAAACACTAAACTAATAGCTAATGAAAGAGGCGTAAGATTAGAAAATTTTTATTGGGTTGGCGAATTGAAAACTGCGGGACCTTGAACTAAAATTTATTCAACATAAAACCATGAATTCATTATCGAATTCATCGAAATAATTTCCATTATTATTGACGACTTCTGCCCATTTTAAAGGCAATGGCGGATTCCTCTTTCGAAGTAGGATTTTGGTTTGTATGTGAGACAAGTGTGAGACTCAAAAATCGAGGACTGGAGATGTCCCAGTTTGAGCACTTTCTTCAAAAGAAACCCATTTTGGTGTCAATAGAAAAGTTGTAGAGAATCAAAAATTAGGCTTATAGCCAAATTTCCAAAAAGATACACTTAGTAGTTTCGCTTAAAATGCAAGTTTTGTGAAAATTCGTAAATTTGGCATTTCTTGAAAACCCGTTTTTGAATCGTTCTGAAAATTTGGATATAAGCTTGATTTTTGATTCTCTACAACTTTTCTATTGACACCAAAATGGGTTTCTTTTGAAGAAAGTGCTCAAACTGTGACATATGACAATAGCCCGCAGTTTTCAATTCATGAACCCAATAGAACTTTGAAGTTCTTGATTTTTAAATATTTTGATACTTTTTAAAAATTTCAATCGATTTTCGTTTTAAAGAGGGCAAAGTTTCAAGCTCAACGAAACTGTAGCAACTTTGAAGAGTTTTAAGTTTAGAGGTTTAAAGTTTAGAGGTTTAAAGTTTAGAGGTTTAAAGTTTAGAGGTTTAAAGTTAAAACGAGCGAAATTCCAATGGAATTAAACTTCGAATTTATTCTTTAGTTTATTGTTATTTTAGATGTATTTTAGATAAAAGGTAATAGCTAAACGGATAAAGTTGAAATAATCAAAGAAATGTTGATAAAATCATTTCATTATAATGTATTTAATTATAATATTAATTTATTTATTTATAACAATTCCATTAATTAACTCATTACTTAGTGATTAATTAACCCGAGATTTCCTCAATCAATAGCTCATAAAGTTGAAACGAGCAAATTTTTGAGCTTACATTTTGCTTTCAGGGATTTCACAGGTGAATTGTTTCAAACCAGGCTAAACACCATAAAGCCCAGTGCCATTTTATGACCCTCTAGACAGTTATAGCTCACTCTTTTAGGCTCTTAAAAGTTTCTGGCTAATAAAAGTTTTAAAAAATGATGACAAGAGACATTTTTGTGAATGTCTCGAGTTTCTAACTGATCTGGCCTGGCGTGCAGTCTCTAGGACCTGTTGCTTGAGAGTCAACCTGCTGATCCAACTTTTTTTTATTGGTATTTGTGAGGCATTTGCTTGCATTGAACACCAGATTGTTGGCGTCAAAATTGAAAGAAACAAATTTGAAAACCATCCTAATGTAGCCTTTTGCATTTCCCCACCTTTTCCTTTTCATCAATTGAGAATCGGAATCGTCTCACGGCGGCAATGATGGCTGTTTTGAATTCCATCTCTGCGAAACGAATCCCAACACAGTGACGAGGGCCAACACCAAAAGGCATCCAAGCCAACGATTTTTTCGCTTCCGGTGAAAAGAAACTGAAAATCTACTGAGAAATCGTCTAAAAAGATTGCTAGCACTAGAATTGACTGTACTAAATTGATTAGAAATGCAGATTTTGGGAATTAATTTGTTTTATAGAGTTCTGAAAAGTGCGGAGGATTTTGAAACGAACAGATTTGAACTCACTACATAAAGCTTTTTGGATAAAGTTTTTCAATGATGCAAAGCTAAAAAAATATAAAATAATGACTAAAATCATGATGTAAACTAGTTAGATTTACAGAAATTCAAGGGAAATTTCGAATGCATTAGTTTGATGAGTTTTCGAAAAGTGTCGCCAACTTTGAAACATTCTATTTGAATGCAAACTAAAGCTTTTTTTTATATAAAATTTAAACGATAGGTTAAAAAGGTTTCGTGAAGAATGCTGAAAGTTTGAAAACATTGTTTTGAAATGAGTAAACTCACGTAATACTTGGTTTTACTTGGTTTTCGTTGGTTTGTAAAATGTCTCTGCACACCCTCATCGCACTCACCGATCGGGATCGAATTGCATGGCGTTTGGCCAGTACTCCTCTTTCCAGTGAACACATTGAACCGGCACTGACACGTAGGCTCCCTTCGGGATTCGGATTCCCGTCACCTGGAGTTGCTTTTGTAAACAAAAATTTGATATTTCTTGTTTGTGAATCAGATTTGTTTGTGTTAAATGTGAAATTACTTTTCATTCACCATAAATACTGTGCTATTCTTGTTTGTTATCAATTAAAATACCAATTAAAAGTTAAAAGAGAGCGAATGCGAGCGGTTAAAAATCAAAATAAAATGAAAAACCAAAGGAAGGGATTGAACCCGAGGAGAAAATTGACGGTTTGTTTCGGAAACAAGACTGACCTCCTACACCACAAGCCCACATTTCGAGGAGGTGAAAGAAGCCTTATAGAGACTGAAGCAGCCTTTTAGGGGCTAATTTTTGACTTCTAATTTGACTTGTTTGCTAGATTCCTCGCGTTTCCGAATCATTTTGCAAAAACGGATAGCAGCATCGGAATCAGCGTAAAATTCTAAGTTTCTAAGCAGGTTTTAAGCTAGATTACGGCTAGCTAGATTTAAGCTAGATTGAGGGTATTAGACAGCAGAAAGCAACCTATTAGATTCAACTAGTTGGCCTTTAATTACCCTAAGTTGAAACTCTCAATTTTCGTGGGAACCTCTATTTCCCCAGTTGTCACCAAATGCACAGTAAGTAAGTAAAAGTAAGCATAGTAAACTCAAAATCAGTTTTAGAAGAAGAAAAGTAAATTTTGTATTCTTTATGCATCAATCGGAAACAGAAAGCGAATTTCATCTTAATCTTAAACTTAACAGGAAATCTTCTTTGAGGAAAACGACTTTGAGTTGAGAAATCGAAAAGATTCATATTTGTGTGAAATTCGATCAAAACGGCCGACTTTTACACAATTTTCAACACTAATATTTTCCTTCCAAAAAGCTTTAGAAGATTGGAAAATAGTTTTAACCACTTAACACTTACAATAGTGTCATTGACGCATTGTCTTGCGGTGAAATGGACAACCGGTGGGTATAAACGGAGAGTTTCCCTGTAGACACAGTCCAAATATTCCGACTTCATCGCTTTCTCGTAGTCGATTGGCTGCAAAGTGAATAGAAAATCATGATCGAGAATTGATTTTGAAAGTTTTTTTTCTATGAAATTCAGACAATTGACTAAATTAACTAAATTAACTAAATTAAATTAACTTAAACAGAAAAAATTAAGTTAAATACGCGTTTCAATGTTCAAGGAAGTCGATTGAGGCAAGCTTTTGCAAACAATTTTGAAACTAGTTTAAAAAAAGATTTTAGTGTTATCATATGTAAGTAAGCTACAAAGATTTTTTTGCAAAATTTTCTTTTCATAAACTTGCTTGATCTCTAAATAAAATAATTGGTACTCTTCCATTATACCCCACAGCATCAATCCCATTATACGCCCACATTTTAAAAAAAATTAGCATTTATCCGAATGATGTTTTTCTCAAAGAAGAACTCGAAGAACTTGAAGAACTTTCTTCATTCAACGGACGTTTCTATTCACACACAAGCTATCGAGCGGCTATGCGGAAGCGCAAAGTGGCGGAATAAGAAGCACCGCGGTACATCACGTCATCATTTGGAAAGCTATCTAGCGGAATTCATGGTCAGAACTGAATTGGGAAAGATCGATTACTTTGTTTGGGTTCTTAAAAGGATTGGCCTGCAAAATGGCCTCCAAAAATTGAACTGTGAATTTATTGTGCGTCATTATAAAATGTGGATTGTAGTTAGAAAAGCTTTTTTTTAAAACCTGCCATTTGTGGGGTATAATGGGATTGATGCAAACTAAATTTTGTTGTTTTTTTGTTAAATGTTGATTTTTTAAAATGTGGGGGTATCATGGGAAAGTGACCAAATGATTTAATGAAAATTGAGTTCCACCAATATTGAGTTTGCAGCCTTTGCCACACTAGCCTCAACTTTGAAACTAGCTTTTCAAAAAGATTTGTCAAAGAGAATTTGAATCGTTTTCCATTTACCTGATCATTGCTGAATGTCTCAATGATTTCATCATATAATCTCTCTTGAACATCTCCATGTTTCGCTAAAAGCCACGTGCAATAAGCCAAAGCGGTGCTCGTCGTCTCGTAACTGCAAAAAAATGTATCAAAATTAAAAATCTAAATACATTTACATTTTAAAATGTAATTGGTAATAGATAAATGTAATTGGACGATACGGATCACAGAGTGGCTACCACGAGACCAGAAAAAGCCTATCGGAAGACCAGCAACGAGGTGGAACCCAAGAGTGGAAGAGACGGCCAGAGAAAGGATGGCTAGAGTGCAACCACCACCAGCACAAGCAAGTCGAAGACTTCGAACCAGAAACAATCAAGATAGGAAACACTGGATGACAATAGCAAGGGATAGAGAAAGCAGGTTGTGATCTGAGCAAGATAGGAACAACTAAGTACGAGGACAGATCAAAAAAAAAGTTGGTAAAAGATAAAAGATGATGTTTCACTTTTTGCACTGTTTGCTCGTTTTTCAAAAGCTTAATAAAAGATGTTAGAAATCTAGTTGGATTTAAGCTTAAATCAATATTTAAACGCTTACAAAAGTATTGATTTACAATAAAATCTTCTTGATAAAGTTTTTCGTTTCAACTGAAGTGCGATTTGGTCAACTTCTCGTGCTTCATGGTTCAAATTTCAATGACAAGATGAAAGATCTTTCGGTTTTACTTAAAGAACAAAAAAGTCACTAACGTTTTTTATAAAAAGTTCCATGAAACAGTTTTTGATAAAAAAAAGCCTTGTTTTAACTTTAGCGTAAGTTTCAGTTGTAGAACTTTAGTTAAACAATAACCCGAACTAATGATAAGCTTTTTGTTTTTTAAAACTTAGTCATTAGCTAGTTGTATCACAGTTATCGAAGCTTTGTCGCAACTTTGGCGGCGTTGACTTTCGTTGTGAAAATTCAGTTATTGAGGTAACTGATTGTTGTAGGACTTTTTGTATAAACTTGTCGACATTTCAAAAACCCACCCAGCCAACAAAAACGAATGACAATTCGAGAGAACGACATCATCACCGAGAGGGGGTTTCTAGAAAAAAAATGCCATCATTGGATTCTAAATGAAATTCTGACTTGTTAATGTGCGATTTGGATGGAGTGATCCAAAGCACCCGATTTGGGTGTTTAACACATTAACACCCGATTTGGATCACCCCATCCAAGCCGCACATTAACAAGTGCTTCTAAAGCTTCTAACCATCAAAAAACATCAAGAAATCGAGCTCCACTATTCGACACTCAAAGTCCGTATTGTGAGTGTCGAATAGTGATACTGAGTAATCAACTTTGAAACTGAATTCCTCTGATGGAATGATGGATTAATATGCTTCTGAACCAATTCTATAAACAAATTTCATAAAACGTGGAAACCTTTGCAAAAATTTTACTGTTTCCAAAGAAATTAGTATTGTTAATAGTTAATAGTATTTAATATTATGCTTAATAGTAGTTAATAGCAATAGTTAATAATAATTTAATAGTATTTAATTGTAATAGTTTAGTTGTGGTCACACAGATTACAATTCCCAATAGGAGAAATTCTTGAATGATTCTCTAAGCTAAACCTTGTTTCAATTTAAGCTTATTTGTGAAAAATCATTTGTCTCAAAGAATTGTGTTTCAACTTTGACGTCTTTCTTTTCATTTCATGGTTTTTAACCATGTCCAACTCAAGAATCATTGGTTTCATCTTTGAAAATCGCATCTTGATGTTGAAAAAGTTTCTACTAGTTCATAGAATTTAATATTTAATAGCAATAGTTTATAGTGAATTAATTTCTATTTAAAATCACTAAATATATTTTTTGTATGTATTTTTGCAAAGTTTTCCCTTTCTCCCACTCACATTCTCTGTGTTTTGTCTTTCCAAATCTTGTTCTAGAAGTAATTGGATGAGATCTGGACGTTCTTCAGCCTAAAAATTAAATAAATCAGGGATCTTTAGTGAATGAAAATAGTTTAAACTAGAGCAATAGTCTTTTTTGATATAAAAGAATTAAAAGTTTCAAAGATTAAGTACAAAATCAATTTTTGACCCCTTTTAGTTTGAAACTTGACCATTTGTGATCTAATAATTGATAAAACAACTTTTTAACTTTGCTAGAAAAGTTTTCTCTTTAGGTTCAACAATTGATTGATTAAATCCATTCGAAATTGCCTTTATTTTAAAACTAGATTTGAATGGTTCACTAGAATTGTTTCCTAGCAAAATTTACCAATGATTAACATTAGCAAGATCGCAAGATAGCAAGATCAGTAATTCTATTTTCTAGCAACTTCAACGATTAAAAATCTTTTCAAACCTCAGCCGTTCCAATCATTTTCTTCCTTTTGGCAATCGCTTCTTTCAACTTTTGTACGAGTGGTCGCTCGACTTGAGCCAAATCGGAGAGTGGACGGAGATAGGGACCGATTGCCGGGAACATAACTGAATCGAGATAGGCTTTGATTTCACATCTCTATTCCGACTTCATAAAATAGCTGAGTGGCTTACACAACTTTTACAGCTTACACCAATTTCTATTTCTTAACTTTTAAAACAGGAAATCTTGAGCTCGAGTAAAAGTTAAGTTAAGGGAAGGCCAGTTATTGCAAAGTGATCTGTTCGAGGTTTGCTTTGCCTACAATTCCAACTCTTTATCATTTGCTTATTTGAATTCATAGCCCTCGTATTAAATATTAAATTGAACATTGAATCTGATCTTGACCCGCGTTTAGCCTGATTTTGACTTTAATCTTGACATGGTTCAGTCAAATCCGACTCTGCTCTGAGCAGGGCAAAGCTGATTGTTGCCTTTTCACACCAATAACGTTCTTAAACATTAAAATCTTCATTTTTACTTACATGAAAGCGGAACGGTGATCCACGACTTGTCCAATCCGAGCAACTGAAAAAACGCCTGACAATTCGTATAAAAAACATCGTTTCGATCTTGAATCGAATTGCAATTCACTCCGAATGCCACCCGCGCGATTGTGTCCAGAGTGAGAGCTTGCCATTCACTGAATATCATTCACTGCTTATCATTTGTAAATTAAGAAATGGATACTGTAAGTTTGAAATAGAAATTTTCGATTATGAACTGTTTCAAACAAAAAAAAAGTAGAGTTTCAAGTTAAACAAGATCAAATCAAGGCTTTGGCGAATAATGAAGTGAATTTCAAAAGGTACTGTAACACTTAAATATCATTTTTACAAAGCTATTATATTATCTTATAATATAATAGCTTATAATACTTATAGAGAAATAGAAATAGAAACTGTTTTTCCTATTGCAGAAATGAAAATTTTAAAGTTTCAAGTTGTCTCAAATCAAGGAAAACAAATTGGTCAGGAATTTTTCAGGAAAAAAAATCATATTTGATGGCTTTTTAAAGTTAATCTTTAATAAAGTTAGAAATTACTTTAAATTTTTGAAAATTTCCAACTCCTTACTCATAAATATCCATATGCGTTTTCCCATTGCGCGTTTTTCTGTCCAACTCATCAACAAATGCATCAACTCGCTCCAAAATCGTTTGATGCATCTGGGAAAAGGAATATTGAGTTTCAAAATGATCAAAGCGACGAAAAATTAGACTATTCGATTCTATGAATTTCATTTTCAATTTCTTTCAATTTCTTTCAATTTCAATTTCCATTTCTTTTTACTTTTTTCATTTTCCCGGAAGTGAACACTGGACTGACAATGCTGCGCACATCTTTCCATCTGAAAAAACGAAGGATTAAGGGAAATTTTTAAACTTGAAATTAGTTTTTCTTCGACTTTTACTCACCCAAATCCTTTATTCGTTTTCCCGGTGATCTGCAAGAGTCCATTTTCCATTGGGTAAGCATTGTGAATCGTTGGAGCCTAGAGGAAATGAAAAGTTAGATAAAAAGATTTTTAGATAAGGGAAGCAGTTTTTAGAGCAGTTTTCTATAAATTTAGCGACCTAGAGCTTATTGAGCAAGCATTAGGTGGGAAATAAATGAATATTCAGGCAAGAGTTCTCATTTTCACCGCTATTAAAGAGATAAAAGATTCGTAATGGTATTGAGTGTTTGTGGTAAACCCTTATTTTTTAGTGTTTTCAAAAGAAAGCTTTTAGTCAGTGAAGTCTAAAGAAACCGTAAACAATTACAAAGAGTTGTAGCCATTAAATTACTCCAAGAAATTTCTTTCTTTCAAAATAAACGACTAAAGAAAACTAGAGAAAACGCAGTTACTTTTTAGTCCAAATAATTTGAATTGAAATCAATTCCAATATTTTGCTGGGCATTTCGGGCTTTCGAAAACTCAGGTTCTCATTAAGAAAGCTCATTGGGAAAGTTTGGCTTTTTCTCTTGAAAGTTTAGATTCGAAGAGTCGAAGAGTCGATAAGTCCAAGTTTTGTGTCTTTTCACATTCACTTTTCATCAAATTCTAGTACATGCATACCGTATTTTCTCTAATAGTAGTGCACTGCAGCGAGCCGAGTTGGTGACTATTTTACGGTTTCGAGAAATTGAACTACTTTTTGTTTTGCACGCACATTTCTTCGCTTTGCAGTTGATTTTAAAATCTAAAACACGATTTTCAACAAAATGGCATTTCATAAAGGTGCGAGTTCGGGTTTTGGAAAGCGCAGGCGAATCGATTGGAGCTGGTCATTTCGTGAATTGAAACACGGTTTTAAATTGCTCTAAACTTCTAGAGGAACTCCAAAATTGAGCCGATTTCTTTCGTTTAAAATTTTGTGTTGAGCTTCTGCAAAAGCTTGCAAGCTTTTGCTCAAATCCCCCACAAGATCTCATCGTCAGCTACATTTTCCGACCCCACATCGATAGGTTCTGATAAGCGCTTTTCGAGATTTCGAGCAATTTAGGCAACGCTCTAGGTGTACTACAATTAGAGAGAATTCATGGAAATTTTTCTAAAGTTTTACATGAAATTTATAGTTTTTCTTGTTGAAAGCATATGGAAGTGATGCGCAGTTTCCCAGTCATATCCAATTCGTAGAAAAATTCAAACAAATTTAAGGTAAAAAATGTTCGCAAAAAAAATTGAAACGAAAGAAATCGGCTCAGTTTTGGAGTTCCTCTAAAGGGTTAGAGCAATTTAAAACCGTGTTTCAATCCACGAAATGACCAGCTCCAATCGATTCGCCTGAACTTTCCAAAACCCGAACTTTCCAAAACCCGAACTCGCACCTTTATGGCATTTTGTTGAAAATCGTCTTTTAGATTTTAAAATCAACTGCAAAGCGAAGAAATGTGCGTGCAAAACAAAAAGTAGTTCAATTTCTCGAGTTTTGGTTCAAAAGAAATGACTAGAAAACCCCAATCCATTAGAGAAATGGTTTGAAAAATTAAATGTTTCAACTTAAAACATTAGTTGGCTTCTGTTGAAAAAGCTAATGCGTTAGACGGGTTTTGAGAAATTTTGAAAAAAAATAAAATTTGGTGGCTTTTAAAATCTATTTTATTGCCCACCTCTCTGTCAGTGAAATTGTGAAACTGAGTGATCATGACCTCGCGGGCGAAGTCGAGATTCGTGCTCGAGATCTCGAAAAGAGTACCGAAATACCTGAAAATAGACGAAATTCGGCTTTTCATTTTATTGTTTTTGCAATTTTCTAGCTTTTAGTTTTAAAAAGCTACAAAAGCTTAAATACTGCTGCAAAAAACCCTTGTTTCACTTTGACTTTCACTAAAGGAAAGTCAAAGTGGAATCCTTAAATTCAATACTTTTAAGTCCTAATAGCCAAAGCCTTTTTTTTTTGTAAAAGTACATATGTAAGATAAGGAAAAGCTAGCCTTTGTACTCTTTGTATAAATGTGAGAGTTCGGGTTTTGGAAAGCGCAGGCGAATCGATTGGAGCTGTTCATTTCATGAATTGAAACACGGTCTTAAATTGCTCTAAACTTTTAGAGGGACTCCAAAACTGAGCCGATTTCTTTGGTTACAATTTTTTTTGGGAACATTTTTTCCCTTAAATTTGTTTGAATTTTTCTATGAATTGGATATGACTATGAAAATAGTCACTACGAATTGGGCATCACTTCCATATGCTTTCTACAAGAAAAACTATAAATTTCATGTAAAATTTTAGAAAAATTTCCATGAATACCGCATTTTCTCTAATTGTAGTGCACCCAGAGCGTCGCCTAAATTGCTCGAAATCTCGAGAACCGCTTATCAGAACCTATCGATGTGGGGTCGAAAAATGTAGCTGACGATGAAATCTTGTGGGGGATTTGAGTGTTGAGCTTCTGTGAAAACTTTGAAAGCTGTAAAATCGTCATCAACTCGGCTCGCCGCGGTGCACTACTATTAGAGAAAATACGGTATATAGATTCCTATGAACCCTTATTTCACTCACATTCCCATCGTTTCCCCATACTTTTTGGCCATTTCAATGCGAAACCATGGACTTCTCGAGACTCCATTCTGAAAATAATTGAAAAATAATAAATGAAAATAATTTTGAAAACTTTAAAAAGTGGATTAATTGTTGGAAAATTGTTTTTTTTTTCATCTATCTATTAAATTAAAAGCACTTTTGAATTTCAGCTTCAAATTTTAATGTTTCAAAGTTATCCGAATAAAAACGGGAAATTGTTTCCGAGTTTTTCCCAAAAATGTTCGCAGTCTTAATCTGTCGTGGATGGTTTTAAAATCCGAATATCTCAATCTCATCTTTAAAAATAAACTCTAATTTAAAACTAGAATTGCCGAACTTTTCACAAAATCACACCTTTTTGACGTACGCGAGAATATCGCCGAGATTCCCGTGCAAATAGCTCACCGGCGGACCTCTCAATCCCAACTCGTCCCGTAAACGGAAATGCTTGATTCGCTTTCTGAATTGATTTCGATTTTTCCAAATTTTCATGCTTTAATTTTTAACTGTTCCCTAAAGCTATGATTTGCATTTAAGCTAAAAAAGCCTATCTTAACAAATTAATCTAACAAAACAAAGCTAACTTCAAACTTTTCCTCCGAAAAGTTTGAGTTTCAAAGTGCGCCACTCAATGGGCACAACTTGGCGGCTAGTGGACCTTAGCCTTAACTTGAATCTCTCAAAAATGGTAAAAAGAATTTAATTAGGTTCTAGTTCTAGTTTTAATGTTCTAGGTAAAAAATTTCAGTTTCCAAAGAAAGGGATGCGGTGAATGAGATGGATGGCAGTTAATCATCAACTTGAGCTTTCTTTTTTCCAAAAGGTTTTCCCGATAAAATTAACTTATTCCAATTAGGTAGATGATTCTAGATAACTAACAATCGAACAAAAAAATCAAAGTTTCAAAGAAATTAAGGTTAGGTTAATTAAAACTGATGTTTCAATTATGTTTGACTTTCTTCTCGTAAATTTTAAATGCTCGTTTGATGATTATGAAGTTGAAATGAAAAGCTCTTTATTCCATCAACGGTTGGCAACTGTTTTGGCAACCAATCGACGGTTGGTTTGGCAACAAAACTCATCCCAAGGGGAATCAACGCGCAATATTATTTAGAAAGCTTTTTAAGAATTGCATTTTTATTCATTTTTGGCTTTTCTTTAACTTCTCATTGTTAGGGAAAATTTTGAAGTTTCAAAGAAAGCAAAGCCAAGGTGAAAACTCTTATTCTAATAAACCTTCTTCCTCTATATTTCACTTTTCATTTTGAGATTCAAATTCATTTTCTTTTTTCGTCTTTAATTTCATTTAATTAAATTAAATTAAATTTAAAATCCATCCAAAAATCCTTCTAAAAATTTCTCATGTTTCAAAGAAATTAAGGTTATAGCAAAGAAATTCTAACGTAATGGGATTACTTTAACAAAGAATCTTCAAAAGTATTAAAGAACCAAATTTTTGCAGTTTAATGATTTTTCATTGTTTTAACATTTAATTTTTTCATTTTCATCACATCGAACTCACAAAATCCACAAGGATAAGACGCCAAGGAAAATCGTGAATATCGCCACAAAGGCAAGCATTTTTGAGCTGAAAAAAATGGTATTAGACACAAAAAAGAGATTTTTAAAAATTTTCATTTGATATCTTCAATGGCTGTCCAGAAAGTCTTTTCTTTCCTTTTCGTACTCAAAAATAACAAATTCACTTAAATAACTATCGTTTCCTCTAAATAAAAAGCTTCTTTTTGTTCAATTTCCATCTTTTGAAGTCAAGTTTTGGTTCTCTTTCAAGCAAAAATTCAAGAGTGAAACGGGATTCTCGGGAAAAATCTCTAAAAACCTTTACGAAGAGATTGACTGAATGAGTTTCTCTATAAATTTGGCTATATATGTAACTTTTTATGGTCTATCTTTTATCTATAGACATAAAGATAAGTTCCCTTAGCAAAAAGTGTCTAAACCGAATCATCGAGCTACCCGAGCTACCCTTTTTGACTACTCGACTTCAGGCTCTCAAAAAAAGGATCCAGACTTAAGTCATTTTAAACCCGTTTCAATGTTATTTTGTAGAAAAATAATTGTCCTTTATAATGAAATAAATCGTAGTTTAATTGGTAAATTGTTGATTTTAAACGAAAGTGCAAAAAGAAAAGATTTTCTGGACAACCAAATACATAATTCTTTATTTAATCATTATTGAAAATTGCAAAAGTGTGTAAACTTTAGTTAATCAATTTTAATGGTAATATAGACATAATTGATTTTAATGGCAATATTCTTACTAAAATATTGCCATTAAAATCAATTTTCTAGGCCAAGCTTTCAAATTTAAAAAAACCAAAAAAGTTTGGCTTTTTGATCAAGTAGAAGGAAATTTACTGAACTAAAAGAATACAATTTTCAAAAAAGCAAATAAAATTTCGAAAAATTGCCATATTTATAAGCCAAGAGTGAAAGCAATGATGCAAAAATGTCCAAATGAAGCGCTGTTTCTAATCATTTCCCGTTTTTCCTACAAAACATGGCTTCTTTTCGTTTTCCAATCACTTATCATTCATTTTAAACGTTCTCTTGTTGTTTACAGTTTGTATTTTGCTCGTTTCTTCCCAAACCTGAGGCTAGTTGGGTTTCTTTGGTTTGTGTTCATTTTTCAAAAGTCACAAGGCACAATTTGTATAAAAAAAAATGGATGAATCGCCGATAATTTGTCCGTATCAAGAAATAAAACCATGGACAAAAGTCTTGGCGGCTCCTAGGTGGCAACTTTCAAACGCGAATTTATGAACCTTTGCGAGAGGCTATAAAAAAGTTGTCACAAGTATTTTTAAGCATTTCTTCTCTACTTTTAGCTATGACCAAGCATTGAACTCGAAAGTTTATTTTCGAAACGAGTTGAACACGATTCGCTCGGAACCATCCGGGTAGTCAAGCTCTTCCTCCATTGGCAAGTCGAACAGTGCGGCCCATAAGCAACTGACTCTTGTGGCAAGGAGCATTGTCCGGGGCATACTGTCAACTAGATCGCGTAAAATTTGTGGCGCACTTGTCGCCCAAACTCGCCGTACGAAACTTTTGTCCATGACTGTAGATTGCTCTTTGATTTGTGCAAATTTAAAGACTTCAAATTAAATTGATTTTAAATTTGATTTATTCTGGTGATAAATATATAAATACTTTATTCAGAAAGAAATAAAGGTGCGAAGACGACATGAAAAATGTACTAGATAAAAGATGACAAAGTGACTTAAAATGCAACGAAATAGCCCTTTTAAAATCAGACACGGTGGAGATCAAACGCAACTTGTCGGGAACGGCATTCCAAACTTTAGTCACACGATTTACGAAAAAGGCTCTAGAGGATTTAGAGAAAGCAGATTCGGGATGCAAGATAAAAGAGCCACGCCTAGTCGCCAAAAGCCTCGAGTTTAGTCGAAAAAGATTTTTAAAAAGAGGGTTTTGATGTTTTCCTTTTACAATTTTAAAGCACTCAACCAAATCTATGATAAGACGGCGTTATTCTAAGGTTTCAAGTAAGAAAAGTTTCAATCTATGTTTATATAAAGAAGAATGTAATCTGCAAGTTTAGTAAATATTTTAAATGAATTACAAATCTTTTAAGTATTGGAACCGTATTGGAACCGTATTGAATCTTAAAAGGAACCATATTGGAACCGTATTGGAACCGTATTGGAACCGTATTGGAACCGTATTGAATCTTAAAAGGAACCCTATTGGAACCGTATTGGAACCATATTGGAACCGTATTGGAACCGTATTGGAACCGTATTGGAACCGTATTGGAACCATATTGGAACCGTATTGGAACCGTATTGGAACCGTATTGGAACCGTATTGGAACCGTATTGAATCTTGAAAGGAACCATATTGGAACCGTATTGGAATATTTTATAGTAAATATTTTAAATCAAATCGATTTTCTATCGTAATCGATTTTCTAAGAAGTTTTATTTCTGAAAATTCGACAGTTTCAAATTAAGATTTCTTTGGTAGTAATGGTCGAAAAGTTCAAAAATTTCGGCAAAATTCATTTGAAAAACAGATTATTGAGCATTTTCCTTTTCATTTTTTCCTTTATTGAGTATTTTCCTTTGTTATTTAACGAGTTTTTGTGCAAATTTGATAATTCATCACAAATTTTATTGTTATTTTGATTAAAGATCAGGAAAGTTTACCCTAGAAAAATTCAAGTTTCAATTTAAACGAAATCTCATTGAATGATTGCTCAGGATTGGAAATGTAATTTGAACTGGGCCTTTAAAAAGTGCAAACTCTCTCTTCCTGACACACTTCATTTTCTGCATCACCAATACTGTAAGAATGAGACTCTAGATGTGCGCTAGACGAGATGCGTTTACATTTTTTGAGAGCACAAAGCACATCCCGAACAGATCAAGCTTATGAACTTGATTGAGAAATTTTTTTCCGGAGTAGCTTCAAGGCTTGTTTATTAAGGTTTATTATATTTATTATTTAATATTTTCAACTTTTCCAAAGCCTTTGTACTTGGAAAAGTTGAACATATCGAAACGCCCTTTCTGGGACACTGAAGTTTGTCTTTTTCGATGTTTTCTCATTCAGTGACCGGTTTTTCAACGATTTGACAAGATCACAAGTCAGAGAAATGGAAAAATGACTAGAGAGTATCAATTAGGGTACAAGACTATGAAAGATTCGCTCGCAAGTGATCGCTTGTTTGTTTGGTTTGGTGTGCGATTTCATCACAAGAAAGCGATTCATCACTTTTTCATTTCGATTCATCACGATTCACTTTGATGTGGTAACCGATAGTAAATAGCAAAGTTTAAAAGTTTGGGGTTAAATTAGGTCAAAGTGTGCTAAAGTGTGCTTAACTAGGAAAAGGCACCAGGTTAAGGTTTTTGATGCGCACCCAGTGTATTTGATAGAGCTTTGAATGGGGATTCCGAATCCACTTTTAGTTTTTCTAATGGAGCTCTGTATTGCAAGATATCTGACATCAAAGTCTAAAACCCGAAATTCGACAGTGGTTTGGCCCAATTCCCCACACTGAATGATAGCAGCTGTGGTTTAGAGGTCTGTCCAGCCAGAAGAACCCTGGTTCAGTTCCCTTGTTGAAAATTGTTTTGATCATTTAACTAAAAAACAAGGACTAACATAGAGGGATTCGAACTTTATGGGTGAGCAAGCACAGAAACTTGCAAGCGCCCGCACTATCCACTGTTTTTGGGGGTTGTATAGGTATTTAAACGTGTTTTCTAGTTGAAAACAGTGAAAACCCAATTGTGAAGGAGAAAACTGAAAAAAAGTTGGTTAGAAGTTGGAGAAAAGTGATTTTTTTGCAGTGCTTTGGCGTAAATTTGGCGCAAAAGGATTTTGGCGTCAAGAATTTTGAGGCAAATCGGTAAATCGAATCTAGTAAATCCATTGAATCTAAGCGCAATTTTCATTTTGACAAAATTTACATTTGACTAAAAGCTTATGGCAAAAAAAGAGAGTTAATTTTTCATTCTCTCTTTTTGTTGCCACCCGGAATGGTGGGTTTTCCTCTCAGGAAAGCGTTGACAGATCGAAATTATCAATTATAAATCTCAACTTTTATTTACATTCGAAAACCCGTGTTTCAAAAATGAACACAAAACGCTACCAAGTACAAAAATAAGCACCAGAAAAAGAAAAGAAAATAAATACAGTTCCTCAAAAAAAAGAGGGAAATGCAATGGCAAGACAAGAATTGCAATGGTAGATCAAATAAAAAACTAAAAAAACAAGAAATTAGAAAAGAAATTAGAATAAAAATGACTTGAAAATAGGAATATTAGACGGAAAAATGGAAAATTTAAAGTTAAAGTTTAAAAATTTCCGTTAAATTTTGCTCGTTTGCTTCCCGCCGACCGCGAAAAGACTCAAACCGGGGGTGACCTGGAATGGGAAATTGCACTTGGAATTCGATTTTGGTTTTGAATCTGAATTTTCAAAAATAATAGGTACTTTTTAAATTGTTAAATAATAATGGGTTGGTGGTCATTTGTATTGGGTTGATGGAAAAGTCCTTTCCGATTTTTTGGGAGAGTACCTTAAATTTGTCGAATTTTGACGTTTTATAGCTCATCCTAAAGCTGAATTCAAGACGGATCGATTGGTAAAAACCGTTTTGAGATATCTCTTTTCTAAAAGTTTTTACAGCCATTTTAGTAAAGGGCGGCAGAGCCAAAAAATGGCTGTTTTCCCGTTTCGTTAGTTTTCCGTGCAGAAACCTAGGCTAAAAACATGTGTTTCGTGATCAGCGTCAAAAATAACCCCTGGACACGCATTTTCAGAATCTTAGCAAAAACTTAGCAATATTGAAAAATATTGTCACCGGTGGAAGTCGAACCAGCGACCTTCAGATCAATAGCCTTTCCGCCGCTTTTCGCGATTTTTCTTCGTTTTTCTCGTTTTTTTTTGTTTTTAAAAAAAAGTTGTCCAGCCAAAGATCGCACAAACAAAAGGTACTCTCCCAAAAAATTGGAAGGGACTTTTCCATCAACCCAATAGTTGAGATTTTACTTATGCTTTGCCCTTTTTCCAACACAGAAGCCATGATTAGAGCTGTATTGGAAGCTTTTAAATTTTAAAATTTGAAACTAGTACTTGATCTTCTTTCATTTTCTTTCTAAATATATCCATTAAACGATTACAATTCTTATTGAATACATTATTGAATACAATTTGTAGTGCAAGAGGGATCAGCGTCAGTTTGTATTGTATTTTGCTCCCCGCATCAACCCTCCATTGCATCAACCCTCCATAAACCCTATACCGCTTTCGTTTGAGTCGTTCAATTTGAAACTAGTATTTATCTTTTCATTCCAAATAAAACCCATCAAATAATTGCAATTCTAGCTTTAATTACCATTTTTGTAAATATTTTCACGAAATGGCATTATATTGAAAATCAATTTTTTTGAAAAAACCCTGCTTACTTTGAAACAGCAACAATTCAACTCAAAAAAATGATCGAATCTGTCAATTTTAGTGAGTGAATTTTTTTCGATCAACCTGTAATTTGATGAGCTCAGAGTTGAGGAGTTTCGCGAATTCCCTTTCTTTCGGCGTATCCGTCAATTTTACGGGTCCTCCAATGGTCGATTGGGGCATTGTATTCGAAGGAGTTTCCGTGGAAAGACGACGATGACGGAAAAGAGGGGTGAAGCTGGAAAATCGAGATTTGATTTATCTTTGATCTACCGTAAATATTAGCCGTGCGGAGCGTTGCGTAGTTTAGCTTTGAACGCATTTTTCTCGACACTGATTTAAGCTACAATGCGCGCATTGGTCTCAAAAAAATAGCTGCTATTTAGGGCTATTTTTTGACCTTAAAGAGGCATTTTTGGAATTACGAGCGCTTTAAAAGATAGAAATACTAAAAAAGCTTACGAAAAGCTTATGACTACGCGACTGTACCATGGGTACGGTGTTTACAGTATGTATCTACTTAGTATCTAAACTATTAGGTTGGCAACTTAATAATGACGCGTTTATGTAACAAATCATTTATTTTAAAAAAACACAAAAGAAGAGCCTTCAATTCAAAAGGTATTCTCCATTAGTATCTATGACTTCTTCCCATCTTCTGCGCAAATCCCGGATCTCATCCTCGAAGAACTTGGGAGTTTTTGAGGTGAAGTAGTCATTCACTGCTTTTATGATCCGAGCATGATCATCGAACTTTTCTCCCTTCAAAAAGTGCTTCAGCGACCGAAACAAAAAGTAATCTGAAGGAGCCAGATCAGGTGAATAAGACGCGTGGGGCAAAACTTTCCAGCCAAGTTCCCTCGATTTTCTTATAAGTGATCTTTGCAGTGTGAGATTTTGGGTTCTCGCGTAAAAATCTGACTCTCTCCGGTTTGAGCCCCAATTTCTTCAAAGACTCGTTAACTCTCATTAATTGCTTCGAATAAAGATCAGCATCGACGATTTGGCCAGGTTTAGCACTTCATAATGCACCAATCCCTTGAAGTTCCACCAGCAACAGAGCATTATCTTCTCCCCATGGATATCAGGTTTGGGAGTGGTTTGAGGGGTCTGCCCAGCAGATAGCCATTGTTTTTGCGTTTAACGTTCTCGTAGTTGATCCACGTTTCGTCAGAAGTGAAAAAGTCGTTCGATTTACATTTTTGTAGCAAAATTGAGGGCGACATTGACACGGGCCATTTTGTTGCTTTGGGTCAATTCGTGAGGAACTCATTTTCCAACACGATTCTTTTCCCAAGTGTGTAAATAGTTTTCGATTGTCGTATGGGATACTTAAAATATTTCTGCCAACTCACGAACGGTGAGTGTTGGGCAATCTTCAATTAAGGCGAGCAAGTCATCGTCGACCACTTCTGGAGGATGTCCTTGGTGTGGCTCGTCTACGAGGCTTCCATCGCCGCCTTGGAATCTTTGAAACCATCGTTGACATTGCCGAATGTGTATACTTTCCTCTCCAAAACAGTGATGATCGTGCGATAAGATTCAGCTGGAGATTTTCCTTGTTTAAAATCGTAGAACAATACAGCTCGAATACGGAATTTTTTGTCCTCCATTTTTTGCCAAAAAGCGAATGGTGAAATTTGTAGCACTAAATGCTATTCATGCAGACATCTTTTACTTTGTATATATGCAAAAAGAGGGAAGAAACGGTGCTTGAAATTACAAAAACCATGTTAAGTAGTGACGCGTCATTATTAGTTGCCAACCTAATATATCTAACAAAACTTATCTCTAAGCTAACTTGGAGATCGATTTTAGGATCAAATTGACGAGGATTATTCTTGGGTTCAAGTTCTGATAGCGTTTTATTTGAAACATGAACTTTTTCCTTCAATTTAAAGTAAACTTAATTAGCTAAGTGCAGGATTTGACTGTGTTTGAGTATTTTTAAGTGCTAGAACTTCATTTTTTTACATACAAATAACTATATTATTACCAAATATGAGAAATATTAATATAGTACATTATATTATCTTATTTTTACAAATCTTTGAAATACCTGAACATCGCTAAAATCCGTCTTTTAATCGATCGAATGGAGAAAATGATGAGAAGAGCTTGGAATAATTGCGAGAGGGAGCCGATCCCGAAACAAATCATCCAGATCACCTGTAGTAGAATTGTTGTAATTTTTGAATTTTTGAATAAGTCTTTTGGTTGATCATTTGCTTTATTTAAGGAAAACGAATTTTGAATGATCGATTTTGAAACAAGACATTTCAACGGCGAGATCGTTGTTTCAAAATTTTGGATTTCGTCACTTTTCCTTATTTTTTTAAGGCAAAAAGTTTCAAATATAAAATGCGATTTGGATGTTCATTTCATTTGAATTCTACTGATTTCTACTGAATTTCAAACATTAGAGGAAAAATTTTGTTGTTAAAGGGTTGATTTTCACTTAAAAACACACAAATTTGAAACATGGTTTTCCTTTGAAAGCTTTTAAAAGTAGATTTTCTCTCTTTTTTTGGCTGTATATTTATTATTTCATTTACCTTTTATTTATCCTTTATTTCTTTTACTTTCACTACCTGATTTTTCGCTCCAAACAATTTATTGATTGCACCAGCGGCAAAACCGGGGATAATCTGAAGAACGGGCACGATTGTCAGCAAGAAATAGACAATCGTCAGTCGTCTCTCCATTTTCATCAGCTTTCGAGACTGAAAAGTGGGATTAAGGGATTTTTGCTTAAAAAACTTTAGGGTCTCCAGCATTGGCTTGACTCTAAAATGGTCTTTATGATGATGATGATTTTGAAGCATAATTTGTTTCAAAGCACAAACCATATTTCAAAGTCACTATAAGCTTGATCTATTGCGCAGGAAATTGGTTTGTTCTTTCTTTTTTCTGAATTTTTGTTTTCAACCTAAACAAATTCTTGATATTTTAGGATTTTGGTGTTTTTGATTGGAAGCAGAGTGCAATCTACAATTAGCTTTGGTTAGTCGATTCAATCTTATCTAATATTGAAACTCGATTTCTCTGCTTACTAAATTCAACAAGTTTCTTTATTCAAAGGATCTTTAGTTTAAGTGTTTAAATTTTAAATGAAATCATTTAATTTAAATCATAAATCATCATAAACGAACTTTTTTGATGCTTTTATTATCTTTGAGCTGTCGTTGCTTTCCTCGAATATAGATGAGGACTCGGAGATTGATGAGTGAAGAAAGGAAAATGAGAATCCAGATTGACAAAGCGCCGATCTGAAAAATCTCATTGTTAAGCTAAATCTTAAATGAAAAAGAAAGGAAAATGCTGATTTCTGTAGATTTTACATTTAAAAAACAAACTTCAAGCGAGTTTTTCATCCGATAAACTTCAGTGCACATCACATCGTGAACGGGATTCCCGAAAGAGTAATCGAATATTTTGATCGCGTATTCTTGGATTGGGATCAGTGCGTAGAGGAACCATAAGCTAAAGGGAAAATTAAGTTTTATTCTTCAAAAATTAATCGTTTAAGCATTAAAAGTTTAGGGTTTATTGAAAAAGCTGAAACACGACTTTCTAACAGGGCAGATTATCATTTTGTTTTGGGATAAAAGAGATAAAAAGATGAACAATAAGCTTAAATGAGAAAATGAGAAAATTATCAAGTTTATCTTAGAGAATTGAATCGTATAAATACTGTTGATACAATGTTGGCGCATCAGAACATTACATCATTGAATATTATTGGAAAAAAATCTTATTCCTATTTTTATCGAATTTATCGATTTTTGACTCTAATTATGTGCGGATTCAGAAAGGATATCGAAAGATAAAAAAGTGAAATTGATTCGATAAAAGAAAGGCAAAGATTAAGGTAGAAATGGGGAGAAGGGGCTCGCTTTAAGAAATGGAAATGAAGATTATTCATTAGTGGTCAATCTGTTGCCCATACAGTTTCCACTTTGAAACTTGGTTTTTTCAAAAGCTTCCCACAAGCCCCATGAAACTCCGTGGTTAGTTTATTGAGTAATCGTTCGATTTCACTCACATTTTCACTGGGATCGGTTTCTGTTTACAAACAGTCATGTATCGGTCTAAAGCTAGTAAACAAAGTTGTCCTTTTGTGTGAATCCACAAAAGTTTTCTGATGATCGAACAGGCTTCGATTGAGATCTGAAAATAAGCTTAAAATGAGCTTAAAATGAGCTTAAATGAGCTTAAAATGCTCAATTCTAGACCTTTTAAACACAAATGTTGTGTAACCAACTGAATATCATAAAAATTGAGTGAAATCTTTTTGATTTTTCAGTCGAGAAGGCATTAAAACGTTGGCTTATCAAATTATAGCAAAAAATTTTTGAAACTTAGCTATTATAGTGTTTAAGTGTTTTAGATTAAACTTCTATTCGTTTTAGATGAAACTTATTCAATTCTTTTGATTTATTATGAAAATTGACTAATAAATGTTGAATTTATGAGAAAACATTATGCTAAAACCCCAATGGTAAAAGATTAAATTTTTGCCTATCAACTTGAAGCCACAAACGTTGAAACGAGCTTTTTATTATGAAAATATCAAGTCTTCACGAAAGTACTCAGTTATGCGATTGATTAGTGCGATTTTATTTTAACTAGCCTTGCCTAAACTAATTGTTCCAAATTGAACAGTTTGAAAAACGATTTTCAAAGCTTGTGCGTTAATCGGAGTTGTTTTTCAAGTGTACCAAAATGTATTTTAAGTTCATTTTAAGTACCAAAAGTACTAAAGTATATTTTAACATTTTATAAACTTCTCTCGTTACCTTGAAGGTTTTATTAACAAATTAAACTGATAGCCGTATGTTTAAAAATGAATAATTTGCTGTCTTTTCACTACCAAGTTCAACTAGCAAATTTCCTTTCGCTGTTTTATGTGAATTTTGAAATGTCTGTGAATTATAAAGTAAATTTTGAAATTTTTAAAATTTCTCAGCAACTCACGTAGAAATCGGTCTTTTTGGCGACACTCAAGTATAGTACAAACATCAGCACATTACTGCTGAGCGCCCAAATCGAGATCGCACAATGGCAAATGATTGTGTGTTTGTACCTGAATACTCGACTTTATTTCATAGCTCAACTTCATAAAACGTTTGTCTATTTACCGGAAATCGATTAATGATATGTTATTACTGATGGTTTAAGTTGTGTCAGACTATTAGCAAGAGCAATTTACGAATTAAAGGAGCACTTTGTTTAGTGGGGGGCTAGTTTGAAACAAGGTTTTTCCAAAGCTAACTTTGAAATAAAATAGCCATTTATCACCCTTGGGCACTTCAATTTCTACCATTCGCTTCAATTCTAAAGCTACAATAGTATTCAACAACAATGAGCCGGATTAATGAACTGTTAAAAATTAACGAATGATTAAAAAACTACGAAAAATTCTAGTGCTTTATAGTTGAAAAATCTTGCAACATTCTTTTTTAAACTTGAAATTCTGATTTAAGATTGAAGATTAAGATTTTACAAACCATAGAAAGTAAAGTCACGGAGTTCACCAAAAATGGAGAAAAGATGCAAGTCTGATCCCATTCCTTTCTAGTTTAAAAAGGTGAATTTCAAAATTAGCTTGCCCAAAAGGTGCATTAAAGTCTAAGAATTCTCTGAAAAGCTTTGAAAAGCTTTACTTTGAAACTTTAAAGATTGATTTTTAAATTGATTGGTCATCAAGATTGTCATTTCAAAAGCTTTTCAATAACCGATTATTTTGAAACGATTTTTTTCCAACCAATTCAAAGATTGAATAAATATTGCTTCAATAGGTATCTTTGAAAAACTCTATTTCAAAAAATAGAGTTTTTCTGTTAATTTGGTCTATTAATCAAGCTTGAAACTAGGTTTTTGTAAAATTGCTTTACTTTAGAAAATCAAGACTTGAAAAAGTACTTCAATATAATATTCAATATAATATTAGGTTGATGCATAAGTCTTTTCGTTTTTTTCGTACTTCTGTTAAAAAGTAACAAATTCACCAATTAATCTATAGTTTGCTCTATAAAAAAAGTGTTTTTTTGTTCAATTTGCATCTTTTTAAATCAATTTCGGTTCACTTTCAAGCAAATTCGAGAGTGAAAAACGCCTTTTTCGTAAAAATCTATAAAAAACTCTACGGAAAAATTGGCTGAATGAATTTCTCTGAAATTTTGGCGAAATATCAAACTTTCTTTTCTCTATCTTTTATCTATTGACACGAAGATAGGTTTTCTTTAGCTAAGGTGTCTAAACCGCATCATCGAGTTAGCCCTTCTTGACTACCCGACTTCATACTCTCAAGAAAATCCAGGCATAAAATATTTTTAAACCCGTTTTAATGTTATTTTGCAGAAAAATAATTGGTTTTTCTAATGAAATGAACCGTAGTTTAATTGGTGCATTTGTTGGCTTGAAACGGCAGACGAAAAGGAACAAAAAGACTTATGCATCAACCTAATATAATACTGCTCAATCTCTATTTATAGCTAAGAATCTTGAAACAAGGTGTTTTCGAAACCAGTTAAACTAGTTTGAATAGTAATTTTTTAAACAGTAATCCAAATTGGTTAATATTATGGAAAGCTTTTATTATGGGAAGCTCAATTACACAAAAAAATAGCTTTGCAAACTGTGCAATAGCTGAAATCTTGAAATAAACTTTTTTGGTTTGTTTAAAGATTTGAATATAATATTTAATGTAAAACTTTTCACAAACCTTTCCCGTACCGTCCCGGCTGCTAGAATAATCAAAATATAGAGAATGAGAGCGGCTGTGTGAGAGAAAAGTTTCACAATGGCATTTGGGAGGAAATTCGGCTCGATTTTCACATAATGAATGATCGACTCGGGAGATGAAGATATTAAAAGATCATCATTCAACATCTAAAAAATGGAAATCGAGTTGAAAATAATGATTGGTAGAGTGAAAGAAAACAAATTAATTGCATAAAAGTTGAAGTTTTTTATGCTTAAATAGATAAAATTTACCGTAAATTTAAATTGATGTATCAAAATGAGTGAAAATCTTGTAAAAATTGAGGTTAAAAATGTAGAAAATCGTTATCGTTATTAGTAAATACGCTTCGCTTCGCTAGTAACGCTAGTAAACGCTTCGCTAGCAAACAATAAACCTTAAACAAGGTGAAACAAGACTTTTTGTTTTGTTTAAAAACGTTAACTTTATCAAAATGAACTACTAATGGATCAAAATTTGAGCTTATAATTAAAAATTTGAATCGAAAATGATAGAAAGCTGGAGAAATCGATAGCCATCAATGCACGAGTCTGGTTTCAATTCTACAAACTAATCTTGATGAAATTGAAACAAAAAGTTTCTTTTTGAATAAAATTTCCGATGATTTAAGTCAATATACTAAAACTAGTTGGAATATGTGAAAACTCGACTGGAAAAGTAGAAAATTTGACTGAAAGAATTCAGACAGAAGCATACGATTGAGTTCGCTAATGATCAAGAAACCTTAATCGATTTGAAATATTGAAATGTTCTGTTCAAAAAGATAACAATATCTTCTTCAATATCAATAAGAATATTCCAAAACCAAGCAGAAGATAAGATTGGAAAAATTGTTGATGAAGAGAAAGAAAAGGAATAGAATTACCATAAATATTCTAATAGAACGGCCTCCTATAGGAGCGTCGCGTAGTCTAAGTTTACTCTCAAAGAAACGCTCAGATCTTGACACCAGTATGTTAGTTTTTGTGCGCTTAGGTATCAAATTAAAGTAAATTCCAGTGCTGTACTACTTCAAAACAAAGGATGGGTGATTTTTTGAGATGTAACAGATTGAGCAGCTTTTTGGTCATCAATATTGAGCTCTATCGAATGAGGTATGACTCATCTCAAATGGCCACTCCTCACTTCTGGCCGTTCCCTTGTTAGACTACGCGAGGCTCCTTTAGTGGGGCTTCTATTAGAGGATTTACGATGACCTTGAAAAATTGAAACATGCACATTTCACTCCGATTACAGCACTGTGTTTTATGATTTTTAATCTGAAATTAACCAAATTTCAGTAAAATCCAATACTAATCCAGTACTAATTCAAAACAATGAGCGATTCCATCAATTAGCATCAAAATGGTCAATTTAGACAAATTTAGACAAATTGAAACAGAAATTCGTCCAAATGGTCAATCAATTTGATAAAAATGAAACAGAAATGCGGGAAAATGATCAGCGATGATATGAATGAAAGGGAATTTCAATTCAGGATTGAAAAATGCGGGGTAACAGTAAGGATTGAAAAATTAACTATTTCAAGTTGATGTCGATTTAAATCCTCTTCGAAAAAAGATTTAAAAGAAAGCTTGGTAACAGAGAAGATTAGCACTGCATTTTCCCATTTTGGTCGTTTTATTTTGAAACATGCTTATTCACATCGGTTTCATTGATACTCAAAAACAAAGAGAATTTGGTGAAACATAAATAAAAGTATAACAAAAAAAGGAATAGAACGTAGACAGTCAATTTTTTCTTTTTTCTAAGATTCTGAATCTTTGAAATCACTTTAAAATCTCGAAATTCCAAAAACGAATCGACGTTTTCAAATCTCCATCTTTAAAGCTGACTTTCACATGGAATCAAGAAAAGATTCTAATTCTTTTTTTTTGCTTTTTTTTTGCTTCTTTTGAATCTTCCTGATAAATGGAAAGTGGATTCACGTGGGGTTTTTGAAAAAGAAAAGCTGATAAAAAAAAGAAGTGAAAAGTGAAGAAAAGAGAAAGAATAGGCAATTAAAATCTGTGGAAGAAGTTCGGAAAGGAATGAAAAGTGAAAAAAACGAGTATTTCCTTGAAAAATGATGAAATGAAATGAAAAATATTAAAAGAATAATTAAAAACAAGAGTAATGGTTTCATTTGTTGAAGATTTTTTGCTGAAACTTTATCCAATTTGAAACAGAAAAGCAACTATTTGAAGAGAAATGGCGAATATTTCGTTTGTTTTCTGGATTTAATTGAATAACTTTAAAGAAATAATGAAATAATGAACTCAAAAGTTTATTCTTAGATTTAAAGCAGTTTAAAACATCAAATGAATAATAAAAGTGCTTAAAAACTTGAGAAAAATATGCCCTAGCGATACATTGCTGATTAGCCTCGAAAAGCTCATTTAGAGGCCGTTTAGCTTGAAACATCGATATCTTGGAAGCTAAAATTTTGGTCATTTTAAAGAAAAGGCAATGAGTTACGTTTGGGAAACGTCCGAATACAAGCAGATAAAGAAAAGGGAACTTTTGGAGTACACGGACTCACTTCTAATGGTCCAGAAAAGCCAAAAGCAAAGCCAAAATCAAACCAATCATTGAGTTTTTCAGAGCAAGATTTTGTCTAAGTGATCGCTGCCATTATTTAAGCAAAAAAAAACAATTGAATCTCGATAATTCATTTAAAAACCCTTCAAACTGACATGATTTTTTCCTAAAGAAATATCTTAATGAAAATGACTTTTCAACATGCATTATTTTGATTTTTATTTGAAAATAGTTTGTCTTTTTGAAACTTGTCCATTTTAGAATCAAAAAAGAAAGTGAAAATCCGGAAAAGAATCACTTTTTGGAAGGGTTTTGACTAAAGAAAAGGAGATTTTCGAGTGTTTCTAAAAGTGGGCCTGCACGGGCACTATTCAAAGCCGTATAAAATTTAGTACATTCAGTAGACTATTTAGTATAAAATTGCTATTAAATTTTTTCTGAAAACTTTATGGAAATCGCCGAAAGTGCTAAAAATCTTGATGATTGTGAGGAAAACGATGGGAAAGATGGAAAATACGAAAAAATTCTTCGCACTGTCCGTTTTTCGGTCGATTTTATGGAGATTCGGGTGAGTTATTGAATGTTTTGGGATAAGAGAATTGCTTAATTTCAAAATCTATACGATTTTCGTGTTCTTTCTTCGATTATTTGTTAACTCTTGTTAAAATGATTCAGCTCTGAGCACAAAACGCCTGGTTTGAAAAGATTTCAGAATTTACTTCCTTAACTTTAAATTTTTTTTGTACGCATTTATTCATCGCTTCCCTGCTTCAAAAGTTTGTCGTCTTAGCTTTAAATTCACGTTTTAACTGCGTTTATTCGACAATTATTTACCATTTTCTATAAAGATAAAGAAAAATTTATAGAAAAATTCGGTTTGAAATTCTTATGTTTCAAGCTTAACAGCTTTATTCGATTCGGCTTTTTTTAAATCACTACAACTGAATTTTCTAGAGTTAATTAATTTGAACGAAGAAAATAATTTGAAATTTATTTCATTACTCAAAATAAGTTTAACTAAAGCTTTTAAAATTTTGCATAATTTAAGAAGCAAAGAAAATAGTGAAAAGTGAAAAATCCAGCTTAAAATTTGCAAGTTTCAATTTTAGCAGCTTCATTCGATTCGATTTTTTGTTAATTTTTCGAAGTTGAAAGTGGGAAAACGATTTTTTTGTAAAATTTGGCAGTTAGTGGCTTAAAAATGTAAACTTCTACACGTTAAAAGCATTTTATTCTTTAAATTGTTCTTAAAATTGCTCTCAAAATTGTTTTATTCTCCTTTTATTCTTAGACCACTGATTTACCTTTAATTTTCAAGTATTGAAGCACAAAAAGAGCTACCTTTTTTTGACATTTTCTATAAAAATGTTACCAAATCTTATTCATCACAAGGAAAAACAATAAAATTTTGTGGAAAAACAATGAATTGACGAAGGGAAAAGCAAGAAAGAAAGCAAAATATAGTGAATCATTTTCGGCAAACACAAAATTTCCTCTGAAGTGAGGGGAAATTTCGGCTTCTACGGGCGCTTATCGCTGAATTTCTGAATGTGGCCGTTTTTTGAATCAATTTTTGCGTTTTTCTATTAGTTTTTTTGTTTGGAACGAAAGAAGTGAACGTTGGCGTATTGGATTTTAAAAATTTAATTTCAATTCAAATTTTTTGAAACAAGCTTTTTTTGATCGTTCCCTTTTTGTCTCTAAAGCTTTGATTTTTATCAATTTTGGTCTATTTATCTCTGTAAATTACTAGATATAGCCAAATTTCAATTTCGATTATTGTTTTTTTTAGATTTAGCCGAATGCTAACATTAGAGTTTTCGAAATCAAACAAAGTTGGCAAAAGTGAAACATTGTTTTTTACAAACACATATTGAGTTGTTTAAAATTATCAGAGCTTGCTTGATTGTTGCTTGCTTTGTTGCTTGAAATACTGCGTTCGCTTTGATTCAAAGCCTAATCCTTTCAACAATTCAAATTTTCAGATAGGAATGCCTGAGAATGCGGGCTTTTCAACATCGGATATTGTGGATGAGGAATTGGGAGAACACAGTGGAATGGAAGAAAGAAGAAGAAAAAGGGAAGAAGAAGATGGGGAAATTGTGAGAGAACGGGAAGAGATAAGGATAAAGTTTATGGGTGGGTTAGTTATCGAATCATTTGTTGAACTTGAGAAGACAGCTTTTGAGAAAGCCGAGTTTCAGAGAAGTTGGTATCTGGCCAAAATGGTACACGTTAATGGCAGTTAATGGTACACGCAGTTGCCTTCCGCACTTCCTAAAACGTACCCCTTTCTACGGTAATCTTTGTCTTTATTTTCATCGAATCTATTCACTTTTTGTATCTTTCGATTTCCCGCACAGAATTAGAGCCAAAAAGTGGATAGACTCGCTAAAAATAGGGACAAAATTCCGGTAGAAAGGCAAAATAGAACAGCCCTGAGCTTGGAAAATGAACTTGTTTTCGATAAACAAGTTATTAATTAACCCTCAACTCAAAGTGTTTCAAAATTTTCAAAATCTATCTTTATTTTGAACTGTTTAGTAAAACTTTATCGGTTGTTGGTTGTTGACTAATATTACTAAAGAAACTTTTACTTTACTTATTCAATAAAACTTTCAGTCTTTTAATTTCTAACTTGATTTCTCCATTTTTAGAAGAAAACACTCAAACCGATCAGGGAAACGTTCGATCGATGAATTCACCGATTTCACCGCAAAATGAGTGAGTGTTTTTTATTAGTTTCACTATCAATCTATTCATTTTTATTACTCAACATTGTTGCTTTTCTTGGAAGATCCTAGCCGACTCCTTTGTGACTAGAGTGTGTTTCTCTCAAGAAATAGTGTACAATAAGAAACGAGTGCATTAAAAATAAACTGAATAACTTATAAGTTGTAGAAGATATTCAGATATTCTTCTGATCTTCTTCAATTTTCTTCTTATTCTGATTTCGATGAAACCCGTTTCCTATTTCACACTATTTCTTGAGGGGAAAACACTCTATTTGTGACACTCATTCCTTTCTTTCGGATCGTGATTCGTGATTTCGTGACACTCATTAAATTGAATCGGATCCGATTGAATACACAAAGCTGCTCGGTTTTTTGGTTTGTTGCCTAGCTAAATCATAATGAAATTTCCACGTTTTTAAAATTAATTACCCAGATATTACTGTTTCCCTGGAAGAGACCTAGCCGAATATTTTGAAACTTATATTTATCTTGGCTCTAAAATAGGTTTTTTCTTAGATTTAGTTACCATTATCATTTCCACATGAACTTTAAAACTATTAGGTTGAATGTTTTCATTTTATTCGCTTTTGAAAGACAGGAATCTTGTGCATATTCATTCAAATTTTCAACTTTGAATTTAGCTTTGAAAAAAGTAAGCTGAAACAGTGTTTTTTTTTGCTTTTCTGAAAACACGCAAAAATGAAAGCTTATTAAAATAGCTTAGAAGCTATTTTTGAGAGAAAAGTTTAGCATTTCTTTTTCTCGATTGATCAATTCCTCTGTTTTAATCAATTCCTACTGTTTTAATGGAAACAAAACGCGGTTTTGTTTGTTTGTAAGTTAAAAATCTAATAAATTGGTGAAAACATATACCTAAAAAGTAAAATCTCTCAAAAAACCCCATCAGAAATGGTGCCAAAATGGGATTATCCCAAAGTGAGAAGTGGGGGATTAAAAAGAATGAATAGATTTGGGAAAAGAATAAAGAAAAGAGAGAAACGGTCAAACTGAAGACGAATCTTTTGACAAAAGAGCGACTGATCAAGCTCTCTTTCGAGTTTCACTTTTACTTTCCAAATCCCCGATACTCAGTGGAGTTCACAGTGGAGTTGAAGTTAGCACAAAGGAGCTTATTTCGGTGATCTTGTGTTCAGAAACACCCTTTCTAGTGAACTGATCACATCTCTCAGTCTCTTAAAATTTCCTCGTTTCAATTTATACAAATATCCGAGCTTTATCGTCAGCTTAATTTTTCGATCGTGACTTTGGATAATTTCGAATAATCTTGCAAAATCTTAAATTTCTAAAACAAAACTGTTTCCAGTTATAATACTAAAATTTTTAATTAAAAGCTTGCAAAAGTGGCTATTAAAGAGCTCTATTAAAGAGTTCTATTAAAGAGTTTTGTTTGTAACGGACTCATAAATCTTGAGCTTCAATATTGTTGACTAGAGTTCGCCTAGAATCATATCAGGTTGGCTGAAAAGTTTTTCCAATTTTTTAAAGGTTACATTTTAAAATAAATAATCAACCAATCAATCTAGGGTTTATTTTATCAGATAGATCTATTATTTACTGTCAAATTGCTCTTTAAGAAATTCTCAAAAGTTCATTTTAGTTAATTTTTTTAGTTAGTTAATTTTTTTAAAGTGTGAAGTCGAGGAGTCAAAAGCGATGAAATTCAAAGCTCCGATTTGAGCACTTTTTGTCACAGAAACCTATTTTGATGTTAAAAGAAAAAAGATGGAGAATGAAAAGTTAAGCCGATAGATAAATTTTCATAGTATTTCACCTAGTTCACCAAGTTTCATAGCATTTAGCGTAGCGTTTTCATTCTAAGTCCATTGTAAGCATTTTAGTAAAAAAAAAACAAGAATTCCCGTTCGGATTTGCTTAAAAATAAGATAAATCTATGCCAAATTGGAACCAAATCTATACCAAAATTACCTATTTCATTTTTCATTTCATTCACAAGATTTAGTTGCAATTTGGTATAGATTCGGTTTCAATTTGGTATATTTGGTTGCAATATTCCCGTTGGTATTGATTTGGTTTCAATTTGGTATATTTGGTTTCAATTTGGTATATTTGGTTGCAATTTGGTATAGATTTGGTTTCAATTTGGTATAGATTTGGTTTCAATTTGGTATAGATTTGGTTTCAATTTGGTATAGATTTGGTTGCAATTTGGCATAGATTTGGTTACAATATGGTATAGATTTGTTTCCAATTTGGTATAGATTTGGTTTCAATTTGGTATAGATTTGGTTGCAATTTGGCATAGATTTGTTTCCAATTTGGTATAGATTTGATTTCAATTTGGTATAGATTTGGTTTCAATTTGGTATAGATTTGTTTCCAATTTGGTATAGATTTGATTGCAATTTGGTATAGATTTGGTTACAATATGGTATAGATTTGTTTCCAATTTGGTATAGATTTGATTTCAATTTTATGAAAAATTAAATAGGTAATTTTTTTATTTAAAGCAAACCACACCTTTATCGGCTAATTATTCATTTATAAACGAAAATTTTCAAAAAGGTCGACAAGACTTTCCGACGAAACCAATACAATAAAGTAATGCTGTTTTTTTTGCCATGTTAGGGACAATATTTGGTAAAGACAAAACAAAAAACATTTCACTTTTGCAGAACTATTAAAGTTCTTTAGAATTCATTGCCATTTATTAAAGGGCTTTTCTCTAACTTACAAAAATAAAAGGCAATTTTCAAAATTCTCCGCCTAAAGTTTGATTTTAATGGAATTTTTCGTTGTTTTTTCGCATTTTGAAATTATTTTATAAGTAAAATATAGTATTTATTATATAAAGAAAGCTTAAAAGCTTAACAATCGCTATTTTTCTTTTGTTTCGTTGTTTCTTCTTTGGCAAGAGTCCAGCAAGAGGTTAAATCACTGAGAAAAAAAACGAGTTTCCGAATTGTCAAAATCTTTTCTCGAATGGAAAGTGAATGATTTGGCTTAAGGAAACAGAAAAAGGTACAATTTTTGGATTAAAAGTGAGATTTGAAGGGGTCGATTATGTCAAAGTAGAAAAAAAAGAAAAAGAAAGGTCGTTCTCGAGAGTTTTCGAGAACAAAAGGATCAAAAAAGGAGACATTTTTTGGTAATCGGAAGAAAAAACGAAAAGTGAGAGTAGAATTCCGAAAAACCGTGCCACTAGCGATCCCAATTTGAAGCGTCACTTCTTGATGCTTTTTCTATCTTTAGATTACTCTTTCTTGATCACTTTTTACCAGTAACAGGCGCTATGCATTGATTTCGTGAAAAGTTCTTATTATTCGTTCCATTTGAAACATCATTTCTTTATTAGGGATTTGGAAAAAGCTTTGAAAAGCTCAGAAAAAGCTTTTGATCAATAAATTAAAGCCCTTTTTAATTCAAAACTATTTATTTTAAATCTAGCAAAGAATCCCAACCCAATACAATTCTAGTTGAATTGTCATTGACTTATTAGAATGTTTTAAAATCCTGAAATGCAAACATTCTGATGCCATTTGTGCGAATTTCTTCGCTCGCCCTCTCCCCCCTCCAGAAGAGGAAGATCTTTTAAATATCCCAAATCCTTTTCTAATGTTACTTTTAATTGCTTTCACGAGGGTGTTGGAATTCCCTATCAATTAGCATTAGAAATCGATGATCTCCCGTTTTTAAAAGAGCAATTTCTTGTCTTGCACAATAAATGCTATTTTTCGAATTGAAATTCCTATTGTGAAACTAGTTTATGGTAAAAAAAGAACCTCTACATCATTTGTAATAGATTTGCAATAAAATTTGCAATAAAATTTGCATACAAGAACTCAATGATCATCTTGTTATTTTGCAGAGTTAATGGTCAGAATCAAAGTGAAAAATGACAATTTATTTGAATGAATTTTCAACCAGAGGCTCACTTCTGCTGCTCCAGAAGTCACGCTTTAATTCAAAAACAGACTGTTTGTGTTCGTTTTTAAAACTTAAACTTTCTGGAGCTATAGCGCAAGTGATGAAGGCAAATTTTTAAATGCAAATTTTGTGGGGATATAGTGCAAATGAGGCATGGGTTTTTTTGTGGGTATATAACGCAAAAGTACCTAAATTTCTTTATCTTCAGTACTATTTCCCCTTTCTGTTCTGTGTAAATTTTGCTGGTACACTTATTCATTTGTCGAATAAAGTATATATAATTGAAATAATGTAAAAATTTATCAAATGAGGGTGATTTTATAGGAAAACTGGAGAGACGAGCGTATGCTATGACCAAATTCCAACTCTTGCACTATCCCTTTTCTTTGAAACACTCTTTCTCACCTCATTTTACAAAGTCAATCCTTGTTTTTCTGACTTTAATCAATTTTGATAACAAATTAAGTTTATCCAAAAGATAAACGAAAGCTTTTAGCCCTGACGACGACGAGGGTGGGGATTATTGTTGTTGCGCGTGTTGCAGTTGGACAAAAATGTGTGAGACGCTGGGAAATCGACAGGGGAAATTCATTTCGACGCTTAGACCGCTGAGGGCACCGCTCGTTTATGTGAGTTCGAAAAAAAGTTTGAATTTCGTTTTCTCACTCGAAAAACTTTCATCTCATTCAACTTTTCTCCGCTCGTATCCACAAAATCTCATTTTGTAGACTTTTCAGAAAAGGAATGGCTTTATTGGTAGCTAAAAATTCAACTTTTATACCCACAGAAATCTACAGAATCCTAATGAAAAACCGGCTAAACTATAAAACAACGTTTGAGACGCAAACTACTCGTAAAATTTCATCCTTGTCCTTCCTTAGCTTCCTTAGCTTGAAACAAAGACTTTAAATTTCAAGAACAGCAACTTTTGTAATCAAAAAACAATGGTTTTACTGTTTTCGGCAACTTTTTCAAGTAAACTGGGTTGGCTGGGTAAAAAAATTCATTTCCGGGAACGAAAATATTGTCTAACATAAGCTAAAGTGACAATTTGTATAAGCTTTTAAGCCAAAAGTTTTTTTCAATTTGGAGTTCTAGGAAAATGTTGACTTAGAGCCATTGCTAGCCAAATTTGAAACCACTATTCAAAGCTTTTCTCGCAATAACGACAAGTTCTTGGACTTCAAAAAAATCCCATTTTCAAAAACGACTTTTACTTAAAGATTGTCAATTTTTAATGGGTTTTTCAGCTGTTAGCTTTGGGAGGGAAAAACGTTTATCAAAGTAAACGACTAATAGAAGAAAATACTTGTGAAATATTCGGCTGACTACTGTCTTGGTACCTCTCTTTATTGATCGTTTTAGAAGAAACGGTGAATCGACCAAAAAACAAAAACGATTTATTTTATTCAAAAAAACCCTATTAGAAAAATTCGACCCACCATTTTCTTTCTCTTTCTCTTCTAAGAATTTAAGAATAACTGAGCATTTGCAAATTTGCATCATATCAAGCCAAAATTTGTTTTACAAATATCTAAATGAAACACATAACACTTTACTTTTAGAGATTCAACGTTTTTTGGAGAAAACTTGTTAATAAAAGAAAAATAATGAGTAAAGGATATAAATAAATAGTTTTCAATCTAATCATAGAGAAATATAGAAAGATAAAGAAAACGGTGCTGAGCCTTGAATCATTAAAGATTTTTAGGCCCTTCAAGCATTGAAACGACTCGAATTGGAGTTGGAAAGATCGATAAAATCAAAAGATTCGGCTGAGGATACTTCACAAAAAGTGACAAATGTCATTGAGGCGATCAATGAATTGACCAGTGAGTTCATTTTCACTTTCAGTTCAGAAATTTCGAGCATAAAACCCTCAATTTTGAGTGTGTTTTGCGTGGTGTTATAGCATCTATTCAAATACGACAAAGTACTTGGTGTACTAGTGCTTGATGTACTAGTACTTGATGAAAGTTGATTTAAAGTTTAAGAACAAATCAGTTATTGTTCAAAAATCAAAGCCACATTCGAGTGTTGAATAATTTCCGTTCACAAAAGTCAAATTTGAAACATTTTAGGGGTCAAATTTGAAACAAATCCAGAAACTGACTGAAAAAATCATTGAAAATCAGTGAAAAAAAGCATTTAAATCAGTGAAAAATCAGGGAATTCACGTAATTTCCAATTTTTGCCCATAAAAATTTGAAATTTAGATGAAAAATGAAAACTGTTAAATTTTCGAAAAAAAAGCTTTAAGAGCAACAAGCAAAAATCAGTTTTTAAAGAAAAAAAAGAGAGAAAATGTGTGAAAACCTGTGCGCAAATAAACCAAAAGAGATTAAAAGAAAGCGTAAATGTTACACAAATTTTTCAAATAATTTTGCTAAAAGAAATCAAAAATAAGACAAATATTTGTTTTTAATGGAAAAAAAAGTCCAACTAGAATCAGGAAACGATCAAATTTTTAGCGATTAGTCCAATTTTCGTAATCTACTATATATAAAGAGACTAAGACATCTGTCTGCCCGTCCGTCTGTCCCTCTGTCTGTACGGGCTACTCCTCAGCTCCCAGCGGACCGTTTGCAATGAATTTTGCGCCGTTGAATAGGGAATTCAATGTAGTTGTGCAACGTGCTTTTGGATTTTTTAAAAAGCAAAATTGGAGTCGTATGCGGGGGTCGAACCCGAACCGTATGGGCGATAGACCGGCGCGCTATTCAAAAAATTATTTTGTTTTTTGAGAGACAAACTTGGAATTATTATAAAAACAAATTTTACAACTGAATAAAGCCTCATTTTTTCCATGTGTAGGGTCAACTGACTTTTAGGAATCTTCCTAGATTTTGAAAATTTTGCAACATACATTTTGAAACTTGGATTGATTTTAAAGAAAATTGTTGAAAAATTGGTTTAAAGGGTTTGTTTGTCTTTAGATTTCAATCTTTTCACGTTTAGAAATAAATTTGAGACATCTGGAGATTCGAAGATTGAAGAATTGAAAAATTCGAAGATCTCCTATGGGATAAACAATGGAAAAGATTTCGACGATGGGAAAATTTTAGGGAAATGGGGAGTTTCTTTTGACGATAAATGGGATCATCTGAATTAAAAAGCGGAGATCGTGAAAAATTTAGCGAAACTTTGACGTAATTTGAAAGAAATAATGAGGAGAAAGGAAAATTAATGCCAAAAAAAGTTGATTTAGCAAAACGTGGTAAAACGTGCAAGAGCGACTAATTTAGATTTTGTAAATTTTGAAACAAAGGAAATCAATTCATCAATTCAAGTTCTTTGTTTTGAAAACAATGTCAAATTCGAGTTTTCTTTGAACTTTCATTGGAAAGCTCATGAAAATATTCTTTCTACAAAAAAATTGCTAAACCAGCTGATCAAGACTAACTTTCTGATTGATTGTTTCAAGTTCTTTGGAGTGAAACATTGGAATTGTAACGCTACTGGAAATGATTTTGGTTGGGCTGGGTTCGTCTCAAAATTTTTGTCTATTAATTTTCAAAAACGATTCCATTATCACCCTAAATTGAAACATTACTTTTGATATTCGGCATTTTTCCTTTTGCCATTTGCAGTTCAAATTTTGATTCTTTTGAAGAAGTTCTAAAAATTTAACTTTAATAACTTTTCCAATTTATCCCACTATCTGCTTAAATTGAAACATTCATTTCTTCTTCAAAGTTTTGAAAGAAAAAACTCGAAAGAAACTTTCTTCGTATCTAGATAAAACTAGAGGAAATATTAAATGATTAAACATCTAGTCACCCATTAACTTTGTAGAATCACTCCAGTAACCCTTTGCTTTGAAACATTATATTTTCCCCTCTTCAGTGATTTCAAGAGTTCTTGTTGCAACTAAAAACTTTAAAAGTAATTTTTTGAATGAGGTTGAAGGAAAGTATAGAATAGTTTTAATCGGAAGAACGCGAATTAAACTTTCCAGCTTCATCTCAATAAGTGCCTAAGCTGAAACATGCTTTCTGAAAACAGTATTTTGTTTCTCAATCTTTGCAAAAGTACAAAAAACTTTGTTATCTTTTTCGAGCTACAGCTCATCTTCCATTCATTTTTAGAGGCTTCTCACTAGCCACTCTAAATTGAAAAATTACTTCGAATTTTGTCATTTTCTCTAATAAATTGACTGTTGCAACTTAAAAGTCAAAAAAATCGTAATTTCCTGGATAAAATTAGAGAAAAGTATTGGTTAAGAGATGCTCATTAAACTTGGGCTCATTGGACTCATTGGACTCATTGGAATTGCAGCAAAAAAAAGTTTTATAGACTAACGGACTTCCTGAAACTCGATTGCTTCGATTTTTGACTGTTTTGCAAAAAAAGTAGTCCGAAGTAGTTTATTCATTTTTAGCACACCCTAAAAGGGATTCTATTTAAAAGATTACTTTTGGAATCCAACTATAAAATCTGTTTATTCTAATGCTTAGAGCTTTTGCTTTATAACTAAAAAAGCAAAATTTTGCTATTAATTAGGTAAAAACTGAAGAATTACCTTCGAAATCGGGCAATTCTCCAGTGTTGAAATATAGCTATTGCTCTAAATGTAAAAAAACTTAAAAGCAACATTTTCCTATTGTACCCGAATGAACTTGGGGGGAAAATACTAAATAAGAAAAAAAACTTCTGATTGGCTCTTTGTCCCCCATTTTTATCTCGATTTCTTCTCAGATTACCGGAAATTATTCACTCTCTTTTTTTCTCTTTTCCTTCAAGAAAACTTTTCGTCCACCATGAGGAAAAGTTTTTTGAGCGTTTCTGCAAAATAAGAGACTTTTATAAAGAAAAATCTGTGAATTGGTGCTTTTTTAAGAATCAAATTTTAAAAGTTGAAAATTTAGAGGTTAAACTGATTCTTTTATTTCTGAAATTCTGAAAAAAATAGCTTTTTATTTTATTTTAGTCATTACTTTATTACTTATTTATTTATATACCGTATTTTCTCTAATAGTAGTGCACCCAGAGCATTGCCTAAATATGATTGCTCGAAATTTCGAAAACCGCTTATCAGAACCTATCGTTGTGGGGTCGGAAAATGTAGCTGACGATGAGATCTTGTGGGGGATTTGCGTGTTGAGCTTCTGTGAAAAATTTGGAAGCCGTAAAATAGTCATCAACTCGGCTCGCCGGGGTGCACTACTATTAGAGCGAATACGGTAATTGCTATAATTTATAGGATAGGGAACCAGATTTAAAGAGATAGGGAACCAAACTTGTTGAGATAGGGAACCAAATTTAAAGAGTCACCAACTCGGCAAGTTCTTCAATGAGGTAAGGATTGAGTTCAAAATTTGAGTACAAATTGAGTTTTAAATTTTGAATTTGAGTAGAATTTGAGTTTCTTTTTCAGCTAGACTTGGACGTGGTAACTTTAATTTGACGAAAATTCTTGGTTTAATTGTTTAATCCCATTGGATTATCGCGAAATTTATGTTTCAAGTTTGATCGGTTTGAATGATAAGTCTGTGGTTGCAGTTTTGATTTTATTTTCTTCTCAACAGTAATGTAAAAGAGTAAAAAGCTTTGAAAGCATTTTTTTCACAAATCAAAGCTATCAATTTTTACGGCCAAGACGGTTTTTTGAGCGCTTTAATGTCAAAAGAGCGAAAAAAAGTAAATGAAAACTATTTCCGTAGAAGTAAACAAAAGTTTCAAGATAAGCTCCATCAAATTCAAAATTTCTATTGTAATCATAGCGCAATTTGCAATTTCAGTTGATGATTTGCAAAGAGTTGAACGAGAATTGTGCTTAAACTTTCAATTTTAATACATTATTAATCAATGCAATACAATTGAATACCTTCGATTACCCAAAATCAGCTAAAATCCAGTTTTTGGATTTCGGCACTTGAGCACCCGTGAGCACCCGATCTTTGAATTTTGTTTATTCTGAAATTTTGAAGCATAAGAAATTGAAGAAATGAATAAGTTTAGAACAAAAAATTAAATGAAATGAAATTAAGAGCGATTTCTAGTTTCAAAAAAGACAAAAACCATCTAAAATTGCACGTTTCGATAGATAGGAATTTGTGACTCTCGTGACTTTTTAAGCCAAGAAAAAGCCTCAAATGGCCTTTTACCACGCAATTTTGTAATTGTTTTTGGATTTTATTAGAAAAATGGAAAAGAAAAGATAAAAATTAATGAGATAGCCGAATATCAAGAGAATATAGAAATAAAAAAGAATGTTTCAAAGTTTTAAAGCTCAAGAAATCAGTGAAGCAATAAATGACGGGTTAATTTTAAAAAATGCAAAAATGAAAATTTTCAGTAATTTTTACAAGATTTTAGTCAAATTTATGCTTATTCGGCATTTTGAGATTGCCTTTCAAAGTTTGGCCTTTGTTTTGAATAATGAGTTTGCTAGTGCGTCGATTTTTCTACGCAATCAGATGGAGAAATTGTCCGTTTCCCGTTTTTTGGGTTTAAAGTGCGTCTTTAAAGTGCGTCAAAATAAAGATTTCAATTTTAGGGGAAAGAAAAAGAATCGGTGAGATCCAATCAGAGCTAGATATCCATTTTCGCATTATTCGTCATTCAGTGTTCGGAAATGACTTCTGACATGGGTTTCCCCTATTTCGTTGTTCTTTTTTCAGAAAAATCCAAGAAAAAAAGTGAATGGAGTACTTGAGATCGGTCAAAATGACCCAATATTTGGGAATCTTTACGTATTTTTCGGATGTCTGGTAAAAATTGATGTCTAGAAACGAGAAAACGGCTAGATATTCGGTGATTTTACATCAAAAGGGGAAAACTATAATTGGTTATTGCGGAAAAAAGGTTACTGTAAACCCTAGAAATTAGT